TCAGCTGTGATGGGCTTATTTGGTTGGTTATGTATTTCATTATTGTACATGTATCATTTTGTTTATACAGTTTCGAGAATAACTCGAGATCCTGGAATATTCAGCTTCGTGCACGACTCTGCCGCCGTTTCTCCTCTGATGGGCTGCGAGTAGGTAATCGCCTTCTCAGACAATGCTCCAAAGGTATGAGGCAGAGAAATGATCCCATTGCTGTCCTCATCCGTTTCGTGCGTCTCAAATTCCATGGAGTCAGCTACCATTCCAAAATGATAGCTGACAGGCTCTTCCTTTGAGTCATGATTGCTCGAAATTTTGCCCTGTCCCCCAGTGGGTTGTACCGACACAAAGAACTGAATATAATCACCTGCAGTAGCAACCTGAGAAAGGAGGGATAGATCATCTACAGTAATCCCTTTATCGATATAAGGGAGTGCGTCTAACTGTGCGGCATCAGGATCGAAAACTTGACTCAATGTGACAAGATTGTCTCGATGGACAGTCCCCGAGAAGCTGACTTCGGGATCCAGCGAAAGAAGGCCTTGCTTCTTTCCCCATCCACCCCCACCGCTCATGACTCGGTGAAGTTTCCCGCCTTGTTGTAGAGATTTGATCAAGCGTTCATGGGTAGATGAACCCGAATCGGCCACCTCCAACTCAGGTTTCTCAACAAGTGCCCATACGGATACACGCTGGTCAACGATATTATGTTCTGCAATATAACGGGGAAGCTCCTTCTCGAGCTCCGACGAAGCAGGTATTGTGTCCGTCGACGTCGCATCCGTTGATTTTGCTAGTTGCCGTAAAATGTTTCCCATGCTAGTCATCACTCTTCGTCGTTCAGTGACTGGATGCAATGGCAATTCCAGGGCGGTATCTACGGCCTGGGAAGTGGCCGTAACCATGCAGCTTGTGAGATCCACTGAACTGTCCAAAGTATAACTGTTTGAGGTTTTATCCCAGAGCCAGCGCATACCAAAGCTTGTTGTTTCTCTCCCATTGACAAATATAGTGTTCGCTAGGCGTAATCCAATCTCGTGTGCAGGTCCCTTGCTGGTTTGACCAATGACTTCGGTTTGGAATGAAAACAGGAGATTGGTTTCCTCACTGGCAGAACTTCGAATAAGACGGGGCGGTGCAGGCTTTGTTTGGACGCCTGAATGCTCTACTGCCAGAAGCGACAGCCCTTCGGACTCACTTGAATTTGGGCTTTCGGACGTAGTATTTGGGAGTGTGTCAACCACGGCTGCAACGGCATAGAGAAAATCGCCCCCCGGGGAGTTTCCGTACAGGCGACTGAGGAATTGCGGCAAGAAGGGGCTAGAAGAATCAAGCCAGTGCGCGAAGCTTGGGGTGACGAGGAGGAGAGGGACAGAAGCGGCCGCAGCTGATGGGCTCACAGGCCCTGAAGGAAGCCTGGACAAAATATCATCTGGGGTCTTTTATTGTTTAGCTTAAATACCAAGAGTGCATAAGGACTGGTTTTCTCACTGTCTCTTCTGCTGTCTTTGTGAGCCATGTGTATGCAAAAGGCCGCCCACCCTTGGCCAGATTCTGTGTTGCGTACCATCTATTTGCACGGCTGAGGCTTCCAGGAACTTTGCATGAGCCTAGAAGCTGCTGGCGTCGGGAATTGAGGGTCACCCTCATCTGTTTGAATCTGAATGATATCGAGATATCCAGATTAAAGCTGGTCCTATTAGGAAAACGCGGAAGTCATTGCGGAGGGTAGTGGGTCAAACGCGGAGCGGAACATCTGTTTTCACCGTACAGGGTATCACGCGCGATTCTTCAAAGTTATGCTGCACATCTTTCTCGCAGCGCTTGTCCTGGCGACGAATCTTTCATTCAACCCCAATGCACCAGACTCCAAGGCTCTAAATGCCAATGTGTTTGCTGCTTACAAGAAGCTAGAAAAGTCGAAAGGGGAATCTGGATCACTGGTCCAGCGGATTTAAAAGAACATGCAGACGCTGCTGTGGACACTGTAGAAGCTGGCAGGACACGAGGTTTGCAGGGTGTATGCCTTGGAGGAAATAAGGAACCATCTGTCCTCCCCAGTAGTCGCGGAACAAGGCTGAATACCTGGTGGACCCAACGAACCATCAATGACCAATGAGCTTGGGATTTGACCGTCGACATTGGGAAAGGCAACAGTTTAGGTGGGAGGTTGGTGGCTCGCCAGATCTAGACGTCCCGCAGTGGAACTCCTTATTACATTTTGATTCTAGCTGGAAAACGATGTATAAACCCGACTTGATGAGTCTGTTGACTACAATATATGTAACAATTTCCCTTCCAAATTTGGTATAGAATGTGTATACATGATCCTTCGGCCTCGAGGTTTCCTTGCATCAGTAATGGTCCTTCTGTTTCAGTGAAGTCATAAGAGGCCAACCACATGCTGATACCAGGCGCCTTGGCAGGTGGGGGCAAGGACCATAGGGCTGGCTGGGTGTTAGCGCCATACACTGTGCAGTACTTGGCCTAGTAAAGATTCCCAAAGTTAAGAAGTGACGGTATTTGTAGAGATCGTCACCGTCATGAGACTTAGGCTGCAGGATGGGCACATACCTACTATGCACACGTAACAAAGTACTCCACACTGTACAACACAAATATAGACAGGAAGAAGAAAAAAAAAAAAAATGTAGGCTAATTCCCAGCGCCAAGCTCCAGGCAGCAAGCAAAAGAATGAACGGGATAGGTGAGGGAAGCACAGAAGATCATTATCTTGACAACCTTGGACGGGTCTGCAATTGTACTCCGAATGGAGTAGTGATTACCACGTTCAATTTAAAATAGCAAGAAAAAGATAATAAAGACAATAAAAAGACATAAAACAAAACGCCTTTCGGTCATAGTCTAAGCCACATTTGCAGTTAGTTGGTGCCTTGATTTTGCTAAAACGGTCTAGAGTTTGGGGGGTTTTTTTTCGCGCGAGCCACAGGTGGCGGGCCATGATGTAATGACCCAAGGCTCAGGTCAGGTCCCCTTTTAAGACTTCCCTCCCTCCACATCCGTTCCCATTTCTCACCGTTAACATTTCCATCACATTTATCCAAAATGCCTTTCACTGCTTCGTAAGTTATCTATTTTATGGAGTCCTAGCTGTCAACCTGGCAACCTGTCACTCCGTCAACGCGTCCTATCACCCTCACTCAGGTCGCCGGGGCGCCAGGATGCCAGGTCACCTACGAGACTATGTCTAGTATACTAATATCATTGACAGTGACATCTGCAAGATCATCTTTGCCATCATCCTGCCTCCTCTGGGTGTTTTCCTGGAGCGCGGATGTGGTGCTGATTTCCTGATCAACATCTTATTGACCATTCTGGGATGGATCCCCGGTGTCATCCACGCCATGTATGTGTTGACTTGATGAATTTTCAACCGCTCGCGACAGCTGCTGACTATATTACAGCTACATTATCTTCAAATACTAGAGATACCCACCTCCCACACACCCTCGCAACCAACACTTTCTAAGACAAATACCCCTTGGAGAGCGATGCATTGCGACAAATTTCACATCAGTTCTTGCTTGTGCCTTGCGCTTTGAGTAAGGGTCGGTGTGATTCGATATCCTGAACGCCGGTGTCAGCGTGATTCCGTGGAGGTCCGGTTGAGACTAGCCTAATGCAGCCTCCACTACTTGGCACCGGGTCCGACATGAGTCCGACATGATGTCCATAATTCCCTAATCTTTTGTGTGGTCGCATGATTATGTTTTATTTTGCTTCTTTTCCTTTGTCTTGGTCGATACTGCGGATTTTTGCTTTTTCGTTATGAATGATACCAGCTCATACGGTCTGACTCTGGGGCTTTGTGTTTACCAATGCTCGCCGTTGGCTAGTCTTTTATGATCCAAGAGATTTTTACTATAAATCACCTAGTTCCTTGTAATTGTAGGGAAGCATAGAAAAAAAGAACTGTCGATTGGTTCCTAGGTACCGAGTCCTCCATACAGGTACCAGGTCCCTAGAATCCCTCGTAGCTAGCAAAAGAGCAAACTAAACATTTATAATCTAAAATAATGAGCCTCGTGGACCTCAGCAACGTCTTTATTTAAATAGCTCAAGCGATTGGTGCAAAACGTTGCAAAGCGCTGCATGAGGCTGGTGCAACCGCCCCGTAGACTGTCGTACAATCACAGTGTTCCGAGGGCATACCAGGGTAGCCCATCAGCAACTCCCGAAAACAAGGAAACACGCCAGGAAGAACATGACTTTGATCACTTGGATGTTCGAGGTTCCCAATCTCTGGGCGAGGCAAAGTGCTCCAGCAACCCTCGGGTAAATCATCGCCGGTATACCATCATCAGTAGGCGGGTAACCCGCAACTAAAGCAAAACCAACCACAATACAGCGTTGAATTTCCCAAAACGAGCCACAATCGATCATCCACTAAGTTTAAGAGATCTGAAACTTAGCCCGGCGCCATCCACAACTGGCCCTGCAGTCTAAGCGCTTTCGATGGCCCGGCGCGTATCGGGGCCGCTTACTAGGCCGCCCCCCTCCTGGCAGATCGCTTTACCACTACAGCGATTCGTCCCCGGTGAAGGGGACCTTACCACTTTTCAAAGCCATGCAGTTTCACTCTAGCGCCTATACATACTTAGCCTCAAGCACTATGTTTCAGAATGATGTGGAAATGCAGATTCTTGGCCCCAAGTGTCGATGGGCGTCATGGTCACTTTTGCCTCGCGCCTAGAATGGCGTCGTGCTTTGGCTTCGTGTTTAACTAGTCTAAACTCCCTCTTTTTGTCCTCTTTTTGTTCTCTTTTTGTTGTTTGTTTGCCATTTACTTCTTACTTCCGGCGTTGTAATACTTCCACACGCCACTTGCTACAATTCGCAGACACATCTACCAACTATGGTAATCACATGTACAAGTATTCGCGGGTAATCAATCCCATGCAAGAATACACAAGGTTAGTCGATGGGAGAATCGTACATGGCAGGTCTTCGCTCATAGTGAACATGTATAGGGCTACCGCAGCATGCTCCTTCTTCCTATCCACAGGATACTCAGCGCGATCCTCCTTTTACTCGTACTCTGCTCTGTCGCCGAGGATACCTACAACGATGCATCGAACTCAGCTCTGTATGACATAGTCCCGGACTGTGCTAAGGACTGCGTCAATAGCTTCATCAAGTCCGAATACACACCTGTGGAATGCAAGTCACCGTCCAATATCAAGTGCCTTTGCCGCACCGGGACAACTAGTGGCTTGACATTGGGTGAAGCAGCTTTGAGCTGTGTTCTGTCTTTATGTTCACAGACGGTCTCCGCAAAGTCTAAGGCTTATCACATATGCGACTCGGTATCCGAGGCTCTTCCGAAAACACACCAGACGATTACCGCAACGATCTTTTCTGATACGAGTACAACGATAACGAGTGATGTAGAAACCACTACAGAAACAACATCAACTAGCTCCACTTCGACAACTGAACACACTTCCGAGGTCTCTATGACAACACCTACAGCGACATCGGCATCAGCATCGACATCAGCATCGACATCAGCATCGGCATCGGCATCAACATCGGCATCAACATCGGCATTAGCATCGACGCCGACGTCGAATACTTCCAGTCATACGTCTAGTATCACATTATATGATGCTTCTTCATCTTCGGGGTCTCAAGTGGGACCAACGTCCTCTACTGGACAAATTTCCAGTGACTCTTCTGAAGATACGAATAAGAAAGGTGATCATGCTATTACTCCAGCAGCGGTCATTGGAATGTCAGTAGCATCAGGTGTGGCAGGATCTTTTATCATCGTCGTTGCTGTGTTTTTCTGCTGCAAGAGATGGCGAGGAAAACAGCGGGAACGGGCACCTTCACATATTTTTGAGATCGGAGGCGTCATGTCTGAGCCTTCTGACTTTTCGAAACCGATGCCACCACTACCAACAGATGGCTTAGGTCTAGGGTCTTCATACAGCCCAACGAGTGACCGCGAGACAATGTTACAGCGGCCTGGTACTTTCCATTCAATGGCCACCGTTCACCCACCATCACGATACACCCCTCAATCCGCTACGGTATATCATTCGGGTCAGACCAAAGGACCCCAAGACCAAGAACGGATAGGGTTTGCCTTTAGCTCCGACTCGGACTGGGAATCTTCGCCTCGGACACAATCTTCACAGCACAGCGTAGCACGACTAATACCAGACCCTGCAGCTGGATTATACCCAAAGCCGCTGAAGTGGAGTCATCGGCCACCTAGTGGAGAGACTCTCTTTGAAGAAGACGAAGGCCAACAAGCGGCAGCAGGAATGATGCAAAACAACTCCCCAAGGTTAGGGATCCGGCCGAAACTCGCAGGACTACCATCCAATCCTCGCGCATTCAAAGATGGATTCTCAGCAGGCAAATTTAAACGAAGATCCGGGGCCCCGAGTACCTTGGCACCCCCATTCAATCCCAACCCAGCCTTCAGAACCCCCTCGTCAGACAGCAGAGCTGCACACAACCAAACTTCCGAAACATCACAACCCGCCTACTCCTTAAACCAAAACACCCTTCTCGCCGCCCCCATCAACACCACCCAGACCCAAACCCAAAACCGCAGCCTGTCACCAGGACGACAGGCGCCTCAACCCTGCCCCGCCTCATCATCAACAGCCCTCCCTCTAGGCTCGGAGATAGTATCCAGGCCGCGGATTGTACGGGGGAATGACATCAAACGTGTCCAGATACGCAACAGTCCACGACCGCCTAGCGAAGTCATCGCGCCATACTGTCCAGAAGACTTGTGGCTGGAACGTGGACGTGCCTTCGTTCCGCCGAGATCCCGAGAACCGTCTGGGGAATTGCCGTATCCTTCAGATATGTATCCCGGTGCTGTGCATTATCCTGTTAGTCCGAAGAAAGTTGGTGCTGTGTCGAATCGGATTTCTCCGACTAGTCGGAATTTGACGCCGTCGAGGAGGGGCGATGATCTGATTCTTCGTGTTGATTAATAGATTCATTTTCTTGGGGTTGTGGGATTTATGAGAATTTGCTTTTGTTGTATATTATCTTTGATATGGGTGGAGAGCGTTGAATTTTGTTTGTGAAAAACATGTGTATAGAAATTTGCTAACTCGCATTAAAGATTTGGATCGTATTAATAGCTTCTATCTGAGCTATCTTCAATTCTGCATCTCTTTAGGTCTCAAAAAGTAGTTCGAAAGGAAAAAAAAAAAAAAGGGTAGGAAACGCGAAAACGCGTCAAGCGTACAAGCCAGCGGAGTAACTATTGGCGGGGCTTAGATAAGAAGCTGGGGTCCCGCTAAAAAGAGTAGAAAACCCATCGCCTGTGGACGTCTTTTACATCCCAATCTTCCGTGGGTTCGGACTTCATCCGTTCCTATTGGTAATGGCTCCAAAGACATTCATCCAGAGATCCACAATACTGCCGGTCTTTCCTCTGGAGCTCTGGGATATCATCATTGAATATCTACACGATGAAGAATCTGCCCAACATCTGAGCCGACTTGCTCAATCGTGTGCTACTCTTTATGAAAGAATTAACTCTAAACTCTACAACCGTGTCCGCCTGTTCAATTCAGAAAGCGGTGCTCGTCTTGCTCTCACCATAGAGAAGCGTCCGGAGTTAGCACCACTTATCCGTGAGATTCGACACAAGCAGGATGCTGGGTCAGAATTCTGGTCCTACCGTCATTTCAAATTCTATAAATCGGCTGTGACTTTGCCGAATCTGGAGAGCTTGAGTTTAAGAAGAAACCCCAGGCCCTTTGATTCTGCTCGGTGGGCCAGTACGTATGCTAGAGATGACGCTATGTTGGAATGGGTGAGAAAGATTGCCTCTGGATCAGGGACCGTTAAAGAGTACCGAGAGCTGGGATTTGGACCTTTAGGAGAATCATCCTTCAGTCCTCCAGATCGCAAGCTTGGTTACATGCAAGACGGCGCGGTCGAAACTTTGTTCGTGCACGCGTCTCTTCCAGACCCGCCGGGGCTGCCCGCTCTGCGTGTTTGTGAGTCCTATAACTAACTCTCTCCACCGAATCGAAGATCTAATGTTATCAGGTCACATCGGAAGCGACTATAATCATGACGAGCACAATCCCAAGATGGACGGCAGATGTCTACCAGTTTTCGACGATGCACTATTCAGTCATCCAGGTTTACGAAAACTCTGTGTCACTGGCGCTACATTCCAACTCTCCCAGTCTATCTTCCCATTAATAGGCGAGTCGTCGCCTCTGGAGGAATTGACCCTTTTGAACTGCATCATACACCCGTCGGACCTCCAGACAGCACTCGAGTATCCAAAGGCTTTGAAGCGGTTCACCTTCAGAGGTCCTAGGTCAGAGGACATGGTAGGCTCTGACGGAGAACCCCTATCTTACGTTGAATCGACGCTCGGACATGAAAATTCCCTGGAATACATGGATTACGATCTTTACTGGGGCGGTGATGAGGAGACAGATTTCGGTGAACTAGTCCACCTCAAGCATCTCACAACAACTCTTGCCACACTTACAGGGGCGGAATGCTTAGAACTGGATCCGGCTGATGATATCCTGCCACCGAATCTCGAGAGTCTTACTATACGATACGATGAAGTGAAGTCATGGCTTCCTTCGGCTATCTACGAGATGGTGAAAGATAAAAAACTCGCAAAGCTGCGTCGCTTTACCTGCGAGGTACCAGACATCATGGAGCAGCTTCCATCAATCAATGAAGACAAGACTAACCCCCCGCCACGGAGATATGTCAGGAGGGCAACACGTGGAAAAGCAAGTTTGCGGAGCTGAATGTGGAGCTGTCCATGGTCTCCGTTCCTTGCCCGCTTGAGTTGCCTAAATACGACCTGTGTTCTTGCGAATGCCTGTCCTTTTACCACCGGATGTTCTACCATCCGCGCAAACCACTGGCAACTCCTTGGGAGGAAAACGACTTGGAGGGGGACGTGTTCTTTGATGACTGGGCAGATGTTGATGATGAGATTGATCTTGATGACCTTATAGATGACCTTGCGGAGGAGTCTGGATCTGATGTCTCGGGTTAAGGGCTTTATTTAATAGAACTACCGGGTCCGATGCATAAGAGCTCTTATGTCTTACGCAAATATCCCATATCAAGTTTCAGCATAACAATCTTCCATGCGTGGGAACGAATTAAATGTCTCGGGAGACCTCTTACAAACTGAATCAATTTATAGCAAATCCTGCATATCTTCCAGAGGAAGATGTAATTGATCCTGTGGATGTTTCCACTAATTATGTAGGTAGCATCAAATAAAGATTGCCAGGAGGATACGAACTATACAATGTGACTCAAAAGCAGCCCAGTGGAGAAGCCGACAGGATTTGTCCCTAGATTCTGTCGATCTTCGTGTGTTGGCAGATACATCTTCTCGGTCAAGATCTCTTTCGCTTATTTCCGTCTTCATGGGACCCCAGGTCCCTTATCAAGAACCTCGTTCCAACGCTTTCAGCAACAAAATATAAGGTAATCAAGAAACGAGAAACATTAGTTTTCGGCCTGGCTTGTGAAATCCTTCCAGCCTAGGCCCTTCTCAACCCAATGACACTTGCCTATCATGGTTGTGACCACTCCTATTCACCGATAAGGGTAGGCAGACTGTGCCCAGGCCCAAGCCAAAAGTCAACAACTTAGCTTCCGTTCCCATATAAATCACCCGGTTGCAATTTAACCACACAGGCCTTCCGTAGACAGCCGCGTGTAACGCCAGCCCTAGAATCCACCCAGCTTTCATCCCTTAATCAAGGGCTGAATCTATCTCGAGAGACTCGCAAGCTTACAGCGCGCAGAATGTCGTGATCAGACAAAGCTTTTAACAGGGTTCACGGTATACATACCAAGTCGGGCAGATATCCCGCATACTAGGAGTTCTGAGTTTAGGGCATAAAAATATTCATTGCGCAGAGCATTCAGGATAGCAAGACCAGGGCTTCTGCCCTTGGGCCCTACTTCTTTTGTGTATTCATAAAGAAATTTTCATAGGGCACCTTTATGCGGCATAGATTCGTTGTGCTGTTCCTGATAATGATGTTCAGGTTCATGACGTCAATGGCCCTGAGGATGTCGCGGATACTCCCGGACGCTTCTCGACGCGACTCGGAACGGAAGAGGCGCTTTTTTACTTTGTAGCCTTTCAAGCCCTGTCAAATCCTACCAACTCCTGTCAAATCCTACCATCATCATTGGTGATTAACGGAAGTTCTCTACACTGCCCTCGACCTCCCGGCAACTCCACTTTCTAAATTCAAAGCGCATTTCTTATCAAATCAGCGTCACCAACCCGATGCGCCGGGTCCCATGTGCCAAGAATGTGCCGTTGATCCTCTTCGATTTAGATGCTTTGGGTTTGTTTTAACCCACCAAAATGACGAGGTCTGAGCCTGAACAAAGTGTGGAACCCCGTTTTGGGGTAAGAGGGTCGATGATGCAAATACCCACTCCGTTTGGCCTGTTATATTAATGGCCCTATATTAATGGCCTGTTCCCGAAACCATTTCGATTTCATTTGCACTTTATCTGCTTTGATTTCGCAGTCACAAAGCACTTGAATATCGCAATATCGCTTGTGTCCGGTGTAAGAGACAAAGAGATTATACATACTCAATCAAGGCAGCGATCACCGTCTTTGTACCCACCGGCCCCACACCCTTCATCACAATGGCCCCAAATAATAATGGATTCGAACTCCAAAGAGTCCGACTCGAACTGGACACCGCTCGGGCCGATCTTTATGGCCCTAATCTCATTGTCCCTAAGGACGCGGTGCCTTCTACATCTGACCATCTCTTCAACTCCAATATGGCCAAGCCCGAAGAAGTCTCATCAACGGATACCTCACCAATCAACACACCTATGCCACACCCTCCTCAGGTCACATGTGATGATTTTGCACTAGCTTTCGACATTGATGGCGTTCTCATCAAGGGTGGCGAGCCCATTCCTGCGGCCGTTGAAGCCATGAAGTATATCAACGGTGAAAACGAATATGGGTGCAAAGTGTGAGTGTATTATTCTTATTTCATGACATGGAACTCCATGTTACCCCTAGGAGTAACTATTGCCAATATAGAAGAATCTGAATCTAACAGTATCCTAGTCCTTATATTTTCTTGACCAACGGCGGCGGCAAGACAGAGAAAGAGCGATGCCTCGATCTCAGCAGGCAACTCGATCTGGACGTCGACCCTGGCCAGTTCATCTGTGGCCACACACCCATGCGCGAAATGGCAGAGCGATACCACACCGTCCTAGTGGTTGGTGGCGAGGGTGAGAAATGCCGCGTTGTGGCTGAAGGATACGGATTCAAGGATGTCATCACACCCGGAGATATCATCAAGACGAGACACGATACTACGCCGTTCCGAACGTTGACGGATGAGGAGCACAGTAATTCCCGACTGCTCGATCTAGACAAGGTCCGCATCGAAGCGATCTTCGTCTTTGCAGATAGTCGCGACTGGGCCGGCGACCAGCAAATCATTTTGGACTGCCTCATGACCAAAGACGGCTGGTTGAATACACGGTCGGAGACCTTTACCGAAGGCCCACCAGTTTTCTTCTCGCACACTGATGTGGTTTGGTCAACATCGCATGAACATTCACGCCTTGGAATGGGAGCGCTACGCGCTTCCCTCGAGGCCGTTTACACGGTTCTCACAGGCAAAGACCTGAACACTATCGCCTTCGGCAAGCCGCAAATCGGAACCTATGAATTTGCCACCCGGCTGTTGCAAAAGTGGCGAAAGGACTCGTGTGGAATCGACAAGTCTCCGTCTACCGTGTATTTCATTGGTGATACTCCCGAGTCTGACATCCGTGGCACAAATGAATTCAACAAGACCGCGGAAAATGACTGGTTCTCGATTTTGGTCAAGACTGGAGTCTACCAGGATGGTGCTGTCCCACGCTATCCCCCCAGGAAGACATGCGATAATGTTTTTGATGCCGTCAAATTTGCTATTGAGCGCGAGCGCCGAAAGACTTCCAAGGACACAACTGTTTGAGCTTGACTTTTGGGACCAGCCAAGAAGTTCCCAAATAAGCAGATCTCGGTGTAGTGTGATCTTCTTTCGCTCATGGCTGCGTTTCCTCAATAGATTTCGCGGTCAATTCAGTCCATTCCTATGTTTTCTTAATGACCTGTTTGATATGATTCCCAGTTCTCTTGAACTTCTGCATTTTGTCGCGATTCATGGCACAGGTTCTTTTTACATATACAGTTCCAATATGGGTTAGATATCTTCCAACGCCACCGGATTCTCTGAATGAATTCCACAATGATCAATGATAAAGAATTTTCGAAATTACAAATGAATGACAAGGATAGTCGCCGGCCTATCCGGCGTTGTGATGTGTTTTTAGATATATTTTTGGATATATTTTTTTCTCCCATAGTAGACTTCAAATGTTCACAGTCAACCGATGTCCACAAGGAGAGGATGTCCCAGATATTAGAAGCCTGAATACTGAGGCGCTCCGCCCTGTGGTTGACATGACCCACCATACGGGAAAGTCCTCTCATACAAACAGAATCTCCCCCTCAACTATATCCATATTCCTTGGCGCAAAAAGCAGCACCAGGTAACAATGATGGTATGAACCCTCTGGCTTTAACCCAATATACCATCACTCATGCGTCAATCCAGGTCCCTAGAACAGAGGCAGTGTACCTTGATGATGCCACGCTGCGGACATTGACCACGGAGGTTCAATCCTCCCAGTCAATACCTTCACTCTCCGAAGAAGAAAAAGGCTTAGCTAAAAACGTGCCCGTGGAATATGATGCAATCACTATGCACCGGACTATCTTTTACGCCCAAGGCGGCGGACAACCCAGCGACACCGGCTCACTTGGACCAGTAGACCAAGATCCCACATTTGAGGTCTCACTGGTACGCAAGACGCCCGATGGACGGTTCCTGCATTTTGGAAAATTCCTAGATGCCACTTCTTCTTTCGCCGCAGGCCAGCCTGTCGTGCAGAAGGTCGATGACTCAAAACGCAACTATCATTCCCGACTCCATACAGCTGGTCACATAGTTGGGCTGGCCATGCAGCTTCTAATGCCGGATAAGAAAAAGGTCAAAGCGAATCATTTCCCCAGGGAGGCGTCTATGGAGTATGAGGGGTTGCTGTATAATGAGCACAAGCCGGTTATCCAGGAGAAGGTTGACGAGCTTGTACGGTTGGATCTGCCCATTCTCATTTCCTGGCTGCAGGGTGTTATGCAGGCTGGGAATGGGGAAGGTGCCGAAGAGGGTTCCCATGGTGGTCGTACTCGGATTGCGAGTATAGGTGGGCTCGATCACAATCCTTGTGGTGGTACTCATGTTGCGAGGACGAGCTTGGTTGGGACTATTGTTATTCGCAAGATCAGTCGGCAAAAGGGGATCAGTCGGGTGGCTTATGATATTTCTCCGGGACTTTAGGCATAAATTTGAATTTTCTTGTCATTATGGTCATATTTTTTATTTTTAAGAAAAAACTCCTGAGAATCAGTTGGTGAGGTGTCGAGGATATAAATACATGCTCTAACGCTGGAGAAATGCTTTATGTTTGATCAAGAAATCATAACGCGAACTCGTTGTCTAACCAATGCTTCATCACGATCTTGCCCTCTCGGAACCCATCCTTCTCAGTCCGAACGATGATAGCTGCGTGGCTGTGGTAGTGCTTTTGTATGTGGACGGGGTATTTCCGAATTCCCACAGCATTGAGGGAATCGATGATGCCAAATTGTTCATTGGTTAATGCAAGCTTGGAAAAATACGTCGAAACCTCCATCGTTGATGAACGTCTAGCCGATGCAGACTCGGCATCGTTGCGACCAGACTTCGAGACAGACGATCTAGTGGACTTCTCAGGCGCCGTGTCAGACACTTCAGTATCGCTGTTGGACAAATAAGCCGGTTCTTGGATAGCATTGACGTTCTCCAAGGCCTGCTCCACGGCATGCTGAACGTCTTGGATCAAAACCGGTACTCTGTATCTTCCGAAACGCTGGCCATTTTCGCCAACTTCATGCATACGAATGCGCTTTGAGCTGCGGATTGTTTGGATCCCAGCATTTATCAAGAAGAGTGTACAAGCCACAGGCGCGAGAACAATGAGCAGCAGTGATAGAGGTATCCAAATGGTTGCCGATTTCAATTTCCTCCAGAATCGCGCTGCTGTGGTTTCAGGTTTTCTCTCCGCTGGAGGAAGCACATGAAGGTCGGGATCGATAATGACATCTTCATAACCCTCGACGTAGTTGATATTCAGGTCTTCCAGATCCCGGAATGGGTCCACTTTAGAGAGACCGGACGTATAGAATAGAACTGAGCGGTCATTGACGATATTCGCGTAAGTGCTCCGCTGCCGGAACTTCTTCAAGCCGGTTATGAAAATGCTCTCGGGATCAGCCATAACACCGAGCAGTGGGCGCCCGGTATCTCGGAAGGAATCGACCAGCCACATTTGGCGGCCAGATGCCGAGATTGTCTTCGGCCCTAAAACATTGAAAATCCGATCCTTATACCCTTTCAGTGGGGCTCTCACTCCAACATGTGGCGTGGCAAAGGTCGTAAAGTTCATGGGTTCTAGCTTATCTAGCCAGCCTCGCGCATTGAGCAAGCCGATCGCATAGCGCGCGAGCAGACCACCAAGCGAATATCCAATCACACTTATTTTTGTGATCCTTTGTCCTTTCTCGGCTAGGAATTCAAGCGTCTCCTCGATCTCGTGCACTAATCGTTCTCCGCCCAACTCGATTCCATCGTAGGTATAGTTGCCGCTATTTGCTTTCGGGCAGAGTATGTAGAGGTCGTTACTATATCTGTCTCTCAGCGCGGACGCGATATAATCGAGGTGCGAAGGATTTCCCCAAAGTCTATGAAGATTTGGCGCATTAGCGGGCTTATCAATACGTCATTGGAAAGGGGAAAGCAGCATACCCGTGAACCAAAACACAGAGGTGATCCCCTTTGGAGGTATCCGGCGTTATTTCACTTGTTGATTCCATCTTTGAGAATAAAAATGAGTCCAGGGGGAAAGAAAAATAAGCATACTTGAGTATTTAACTTACGGATGTCTGTTCACCCGAAGGCCGCGCATCTCCGTCAGCCTGGAGCTATCGGCGATAAGGGACTTCCGTGCTAGGCGAATTCTCGAAGTACAACATATATCTCTATGTAGATCTATTTGTGTTCATTGCTGGAGATTAGAGTCTTCAATCACATCGAGCAGAACCATGAATCAATAAGAAATAACATCAGATCACAGAACCCATGTGTTTCTGCCTGCAATATTAGGCATGTGTTTGTCTTCTTTGCATTGACTTATCACTTTGCTGAACAGCTTCCAATAATGTTGTCCTCTAGTGATGTCAATCTGATCTCTTAATCCCTTCAAATTTGCTTTCTACCTTAAGCTCCAGCTGCTTTGTTTGGGATCACGCAGCTTGGCTCATTTTTAATAGTCTTCGCCACAGGCAAGCCCTGAATGATGCGATAGAATTACTTGCAATATTCGTTTTGGTCTATTTGGTGCACAAACAAACACAAAAGGGTCGATGGGCACAGTAGCTATACATATTCATTATGTATTTCTAAAAACTGTGATCGACTTTGACTAGCTCTTGCACTGAAGACCTGGATATTTACACTTTAACCTGTCTTCTCATCTTGTCATCATTCATCATGTTCACATCGCTCGGCCTTTTTGGGGCAATTCCATGCCCGCAAGGCAAGGCTTGCACTCTTTTGAAATGCATATTCTCTCATGATAATGAGCCAACCCTAGCTGAGGCTCAGCCGTCGAAGATTCCAGCGTCAGGCGACGATGGCCCTCCTTCTAAACGGGTCAAAGTGGAAAGCACACAGTTGCCGGGTTCCCCCATTCCATCTTGCAACTTAGAAGAATCATCCCTCGAAATGGGACGGCGCTCACCGAAACCAGTCGCCCCCAAACGAAATCAAAATACACAAGACACCTCAAGAGCTCAAGAAGCCGCCCAGCCTACCTCAAGCCGTGGCCCACCAAACCCTTCGGGGAGCGAGCCTGCGAAGCGCACTAATACCACATCCGCTGGATCTTCATCACAGCTCCCTCCACGCAAAGTTCCAAAAGAAACTTTGAATCCTCGCATGCTTTCCCATGCACCGGCAACTCATGGCAGTCGGACTGCCATTCTCCAGAAGCTGCACTCCGCCATGACTGCTCTCAATGAAAAGCTACGAAAGGACAAGAATAGCTCGAATAGATGTTTCATCCTAACCCCCGATGAACTCACCATAATGGCTCTGGATGAGGAAGAAAAATTCGCCAGGGACAGCCCAAGCGTTTACGGCAATGTTATCAAACTTCGAATCGTGAAAGTTACGAAGATGGGAATTGACGAATGGGTCAAGGAGGTGATGTCTCATCTGAATTCGCGATATTATAAGATAAACCCCGTCCAGAAGCCACAGGCGACGCCCATACCTATCAACACAGGCCTCACTCCTGCAGAAGAAATCGCAGTTGTATCCCAGCTAGTCACGCCCCTCACTGGCCTCGAAGGTCATGGGTATGTCACAAAACAGCCCACAAATGCAGAAATAGAAACCGCCAAGAGAGGTGTTGATGAGTCCAAGGGCTGGGAGAAGTGCGACAGATGCGGTCAACGGTTCCAGGTATTTCCAGGTCGTCGCGAGGATGGTGCCCTGGCCAGCGGTGGTTACTGTGACTATCATCCTGGTCGGCCCGTTTACCCTCAACGCAAGAAAACAGACCATGTCACCGGTCCCTCCCAGCCATACTTTCCCTGCTGCAGCGAGGGATTGGGGACGTCTACAGGCTGCACCAGAGCCAAGACACATGTCTTCAAGGTCTCCGAGACCAAACGACTTGCCTCCATCCTCCAATTCCAGACAACCCCATCGCAGCCAGGAAAGGGACCATTGAAACCGGTCTCTATTGATTGCGAGATGGGCTACACGACATTGGGGCTCGAACTGATTCGTCTCACTGCAGTCAGTTGGCCTGAAGGCTGTGATCTCCTTGATGTGCTGGTCCGGCCTATGGGCGAGGTGTTAGATCTCAACACACGCTTTTCTGGCGTCACCCCACAACACTATGCTTCCGCCAAGCCGTATGGCACTCCAATTCCCAGCATATCTTCACCGTCGGCAGACGAGAAAAAGAAAACCAACCCGCCCTTGCAACTTGTTCAGTCGCCCGAGGAGGCGCGCGATCTGCTTCTGAAGCTCCTCCAGCCCGAGACACCTCTCATCGGCCATGCAATCGACAACGACCTCAACGCTTGCCGTATAATCCACCCTACGGTCATTGACACCGTCCTCCTGTACCCTCACCCCAAGGGTCTCCCCATTCGTCTAAGTCTCAAGGCCCTTGCTCAAAGGCACCTTGGCCGTGACATCCAGGTCGGAGACAATGGGCACGACTCAAAGGAGGATTCAATTGCTACAGGTGATCTTGTGAGAGTGAAAGTGGGTGAGAAATGGAAAGCGTTGAAGAAGAACGGACATAAAATTGAGGGTGACAAGTTGGTCCATCCGGATGGCCGAGTATCAACGGTCACATCTTCATGGACAACGGTCCAGAAGAGAAAGTCCAGCAGATGATCGTGGATATGTATTCCTCATTCCCATATCGCATATTTTGCTTTTCACTTTTGTATCGATACCCATGCATGTGCAATAAACATTGAACGGACGACAGTTTACAATTTACATTATTATTACACAAGAATAATATGAGGGTATAAACTTTTTTGGTTTTATTCGTGGCCTCATAGACCAATCTTATCCCCCCATGGCTCTCGCTCTCAATCCAGACAGACGTTCCAAGCGCGACACACAAGACTAGAACCGATCGATCAACGGGGCAAAGAAATAAGACATGTCAGGAGCGACACGCTTATTCCTCATCCTCCTCAGCCTCGTCGTTGACGACGTTGTAGAAGCGGAGCTCGTAGACACCCTTGGAGGTGGAGACGACACGGAGCCAGTCACGGAGCTGCTGCTTCTTGAGGTACTTCTTGGTGCTGAATTGCAGAAAAGGCAATGGTCAACAAAACTGTATTCCAACATATCGGGAATAACCCCGGGGGATAGAAAAACTCACAGGTACTTCAGGTAGCGGCCGGAGAAGGGGATGTGGGCAACAACCTCGATCTTGCCATCGCCGGACTGGGAGATGACGACGTTCTCGCCAAGGTTACCGACACGGCCCTCGACCTTGATGCGGTCGTGGAGGAACTTCTCGAAGGCGGAGACATCGAAGATCTTGTCGCTAGCGGGCTGGGAAGCGTTGATAACGAACTTCTGGGTAACCTTCTGGGCCTTGCGACCACGAGCCTATACCACATAGAATCAAATTAGCCTACTGCTCCATAATGTCGAGCCCCGGTGGTAATCTCGCAGATTCGTCTTCGTCTTCGACACGAGCGATTCGATAGATTTTTCAATACCGAGTTTCACAGTGTCAAAGACGAGCCTGCAGAGACTCCGGTGGGGGGAACAGCAAAGCGATTTGGACTTCAACGTACAGCAGCGGGAGCCATTGTTAATGGATTGGGGGGGGATGGATTTTGGAGGATTGGGAAAGGTCGCAAAGAGGTGAATATCCTGCGCCGACGAGAGAGTGGTCAAGACAACTTCCTAAATTTCACGGTGGAGCCGATTTGGTTATCAAAAATTCATGGCCAGAGGTGTGTCGCACTAGTCTTAATTGGGAAATAGGGTAGGGCAAAGTTTGGTGAGTCAGCCAAGTGAGTCAGCATGTCGCTTAGGCTCGGAGTTATTTGATATCTCCGATTGGCTCGGCTAATCGGGAAGACCCACTGCCATCAAGGTATATAAGAGTCCCTCTGCCCTCAGATCTTCCTCTTCTTTTCTTTCTTCTTTAGCTCTCTTTGCCTATTGGCTTAGATCAAGTGTAGTATCTGTTCTTTTCAGTTTAATCTCTGAAAGTTTCCGTCAAGGAAACACTTTGATTATTCCTATTTTTGGACCCCGCGACTTGGCCCCTGTGCTTGCGCATGCCTCGTTGCACAGTGTCATTGGGCTTACACTACCCCCGATCGACGCGAACTCCTTTTTCATCAACCGTTCGGCTTGTCCGGGCGTTTGGAGAAGATGTCTGTTCAGAATCAACCTCCTTGTAATGTAATCCAAGTACAGTAATTTTGTAGTACTTCCTGATCAGATAGCAGGATGGCACACTTGGATGAGAGACCATCAGCAACTCCATCCAACACATTACAACACTTTAGACACGGCCTTACTATTACAGATCCCCTAGCTGTCACGTATGTCATAGATTGTAGATCACGTCCTACGATGTACTTCTTGAATCAGTTGCCAAGGTGAGGGCTTGGGTGAGAGATCATCCACAACTTCATCACTGTGATTTTTCTAGCACCACACACTGAATAATACACAGCAACAGACCAAGCAGTTTAGATAACGCGTCACGACTACTCTCTATAACAGCTAAATGGGTCACATGACGTGACAGCTTCGATCGCGGGGGCCCAATCGATAAGCCTTCCATTTTTTTTCCCACTCCGCATACTTCAATCTGTTGACACAAAATCAGCCATCGTAATGGGTTCTATCGTTCTCCCTCACTTGCAAACAGCCTGGCATGTGGACCAGGCTATCCTCTCTGAAGAAGAACGCCTGGTGGTGATCCGATTCGGGCGAGATCACGATCCCGACTGTAAGTGCCACCCGCATCCATTCGCAGGGTCCCAGACTAACCCACTCTCCCAGGTATCCGCCAAGATGAGCTCCTCTACAAGATTGCCGAGCGGGTAAAGAGTGAGTGATCCCCCAAAGAAACCTGAACAGTAGCTAACAGGCCTACCCCCAGACTTCGCCGTCATTTACCTATGCGACCTCGACCAGGTCCCAGACTTCAACCAGATGTACGAGCTTTACGACCGGATGACAATCATGTTCTTCTATCGCAACAAGCATATGATGTGCGATTTCGGCACGGGAAACAACAACAAGTTGAACTGGGTGCTGGAGGACAAGCAGGAGTTGATCGACATCATCGAGACGATATACAAGGGCGCCAAGAAGGGCCGTGGTCTGGTGGTCAGCCCCAAAGGTACATTCAATCTCGATTCTCGTATAGAAACACCATTCGCTAACAGCCGGTTTTCACAGATTACTCGACCAGATACCGATACTAAGCATTGCCTCTCTCGCCGCGTGATCACCCTGGCACCGGCCGGTGTGTGTATTGCTTCCTTACGACATTTACGATGATCACTAGACTTGATCTGCCACCAATAAAACCTGCAAATATGGTCATGGTTCTGGAGTTTTTTTTTTTTTTTTGTTTCTGGGGAGAGTCGCCTTTGCAGTCGTTTTGATTGGGGGTGAACACAAGTCACATACAAGCCTCAAATTTTTGAGATCTAAATCTCTTAATAAGTAACTGAGAATACCTACCTACTCAACAGCTTTATCAATCGTTCCGTGAATGGTAACTGTAGGCCAGTGTCGTAAATCGTAGTAAAAAGAGCCTCATGCGACCTTCATCTCGAGGAAATCTCATCTCCAAAAGTAAAATATATTTCAGGAAGTGATATCACAGCTCATCATATAACTCTCAATTTAAACAAAGAAATGTGGCGTGTTGCGCGAGCTATCCTCTTTTTTAACATATCTTTTGACGTAACTAACGCACTTCCAACACCACACCTCGCAGATCTGCCTTCAATTCTCTCAAATACCCATCTACAACCACAACAAAGCAACAAAATGATTGACCAACGCATTTTCGAGAATCTCCAGACGAAGATCGACGAGGAGAGCACCGTCCGAGATGTAAGTCATACCAACGCGTCCTGAGCTTGGTGAATTCTTCGCGCGCCAAGCCTACACCGGAGCAAGACCCTTGAGCCAGGAACATCGACATTTAGCTAACGATTTTGGATAGGAGCTACATGAGATTGTCCAAACACTCGCCAGAAGAGGTATGCTCTGCAATTCATGACTTTGTTCAGGACTTCTCTAGTGTCTACCCTACCGGGGACGGCACTCCCGGATTGAAGTCGCAGGTCGAACATGAGGACTGATATTGATTGGTACAGGACGTTACACACAGGCTATCCTGTCGCGGGCTCATTCCACGCCTGCTGATCAGCGTAAGTATCTATTATTCATCGCAAGTGGTCTGGCGAGAGGAATGGGGTATAATTCCATTCGATTTTAGCCTCACTGCCTGGTCACTCCTCTTTTTATGTCTCTTTTCTTCGCCATATAACCTTTAAATTCCTACACTTTTCCCCCAAACAGCATTCCACACTATTCCTCTAATTCTCATGAGTCATCTTACTGACTTCTACAATAGTGAAGCCTGTGCTTGACGATGTCACCAAGGAAATCCTTGCCCAAAAGCAAGAAGTTGCTCGCCTGAAGGACGTGGCAGATAAACATCCATTCTACAAGTACAACGGGCTATGGACCCGTGAGCTGCAAAATCTGGTTTGTTTCTGAAATTCAATGTTGAAGACTTCTGCTTATCCAATCTATCAGGTCGCCTCTATTGAGCTTTGCGCATGGCTAGGAGGACTTCAAGAGCACAAGGGACCCAACTCAACATCCTTCATGACCATCGAGGATGTGGGCAAGTTCCTGGACAGTACGTTTTGCTATCTTTATCTGTGATAAGCATCACGGGTGCTGTATGCATACATTGATGTACAATACTAATCTGTCATTCTTTCATTAGTCCCTGTCAACCTAAAGGAGCAGGATGCCTTCCACCTAACGATTGAGGAGTACTTACTGGCACTGATTGCCATGGTCGAGGAGCTAGTTCGTTTCCCGAAATCTCAGGGCTTTTATGTTTGGCCACAGCTAATTTGTTCCCAGGCTCGCTTGGCTGTCAACTCAGTCACCCTAGGCGACTACACCCGTCCCATGCAGATTGGCAACTTTATCAAGGAAGTGTTCGCTGGATTCCAGCTCTTGAACTTGAAAAACGACATCCTGCGCAAGCGCAGCGACGGTATCAAGTACAGCGTATGTTGAAACCATTGCAATATCTATTTCCTTGTTTTAAATTTCTAATTTGTGTGGCACTACAGGTCAAGAAGGTCGAGGATGTGGTCTATGATCTGTCGCTACGGAATTTGGTCCCCAAGGGTGGTTCTTCTGCTTAAATTTGGGCATCAGGGACTCTCGGGCATATCGAGTCAGGCCTCATGTTAGGCGGGAATGGATAAGCATCCAAGGACCTGGTCTAGCGGCTTTTCCTTTTACCAAATCGGTATCGATGAGTTTTGATACTGGGATATAAATTACTATTGGTACTCGGTAAAAACCCCATCGTAGACCAGAATCGTAAACCGAGAAGTACGAGTTTATCACAAGCAGAAGCACCGAGATATAGATACAATAAAAACAATTAAAGGTATCACCACAATTATTCAGAAACGAACACCTCGAGCACATCCTTACGACAACTTAGCCTGCTCAGCACCAGCCTCAGTCTTCTTCAGCGAAGCAAGAGTGCCCTCCTTCTTCGCCTTCTCGATCTCCTTGACAATGGTATCCTGGAGTCCCTCAGGCTTGGTAAGGGAAGCCCAGCGGCCAACCACCTTGCCATCAGCGGAAACAAGGAACTTCTCAAAGTTCCACTTCACGCGCTTCATGCCCAAGATCCCAGGCTGCTGCTCCTTCAGGAAAGTCCAGACCGGTGCAGCGTTAGCGCCGTTCACATCCAATTTTCCGAGCACGGGGAATGTGACGCCGTAATTGAGCTGGCAGAAAGACTGGATATCATCGTCCGAGCCTGGGTCTTGGTTGCCGAACTGGTTGCATGGGAATCCGATGATGGTGAAGTCTTCGGGGTACTGGGCCTTCAGGGTCTGGTAGAGCTTCTCCAAGCCTTCAAACTGGGGTGTGAAACCACATTTCGAGGCTGTGTTCACGACTAGGACGACCTTGCCGTTCAGCGATGAAAGGGGGAAGGGCGCGCCCTTTTCTGTTCGTATGTCGGGTTTGGTTAGCGATGAGGTTATTTGGCTGTGTATGCATGTGATGAGGGGAGAAGATAGGCAGAGACAGCACGGGGATTATACGTACTATCGACAGGCTCAAAGTCGAAGAAAGATGTAGCGGACGACATGGTTGATATTTGACGGGGATTTGCGAAAAGAGGAAATTGTCTCTGGAGTGTTCGCGGGGATAAATAGAATGACGTCGTTAATTGGATAGTTGACCGGACAGACTTGGCAGAATGTGGTATAGCGAAATTTTGCCAACACAAGAACATGACTCTCTTCTTGTATTCTTCTGATACTCTAGATGGACCGAGGTCGAGTTGATTTCTTACCAATTGGCCAAGGGCTGGCCACGGGGTATTCAGAGCCGACGGACTTGGAAATCGACCGAGCCGATTGATAATTGGCTTTGGTTTGGCTGTCTTTTGATTGGTTCATGGGCATAACGTTATTCCAAATCATTGCTGACTGTAAATGAAATCTAGACGGCTTATTAGGTCCCGAGGTCATACTGAGCAGGTTTTGTCTTACTAATAACGTTAATTAGGAAAGTCTCTTGCACAAAGTATGCTTTTGTTTCCTTCTCGTCTATCCAGAGGGAGGGGATATCTATACTACGGAGTACTGAGAAGTCATCACAAGGCCGCATGTGCGGCCCTCTACTCTTGTATATTTGATCGGAAATATTGTAGAGTATTATGTGCGTGTTTACATATCTAGATGCTTAAGGTTATCGTGATAGTATTGCTCAAATTATATACAGGTAGACCTAGCGATTAGGAATATATATGCTGAGTAGCTCACGGGTACACGACAGTCCCACAGGCATATTATTTCCATTTAATAATAAAAGAAACCTAATATGAAATACATATGTATCGCCTTGACATCATGCCATTTGGAAATTATCTGCCTCTTCTGTCAGCCATGTTAGTTGATACCAAGGTATTGGAGGGGAATCCACCTGAAGGCATACAAATGAGAATGTTGGAGTATAATGTATTTTCTAAGACTTGGAAAAATAGGGCGGCAAAGATAAAAAGAAAACACATATTTGTAGCAAGGATGTTCCTCTCAGGCTGATTATCTGGAAGTAACAGAGAGATATGAAACGCACTCGTAAAATATTGTGCACGGAAAATTAATCAATCATAAAATGTTCCCAAGGATGAGCATATATCGGAAAAACCGAAGAAGCATTAAGTATATTGTAATGACTAAGTATGGCTAGCAGCATTCTTTGCGGTACTAGCGGCGCCAGAGGCAAGGTTTTCGCCCGCACCAACGGCACTGCCAGCGATGGCAACACCGCTGTTGGCAAAGTTGGGATTGGGCTCGGTGGTCTCAAGTACGGCAGTTCCATCGCGCTTGAAGGCAGCAGGCAAGCCTCCAGCTTTGGCTCCATGGACAATGGCGGGAACGGCGCTTCCAAGGGCGCCGATGGGGAGGTCGTTGAGCTGACGCTTCACGGGTAAACCGCCCCCGGTCAGAGCACCGCTGGCTCCTTGGACAATGGCGGGAACGGCGCTTCCAAGGGCGCCGATAGGGAGATCGTTGAGCTGACGCTTCACGGGTAAACCGCCCCCGGTCAGAGCACCGCTTGCTCCTTGGACAATGGCGGGAACGGCGCTTCCAAGGGCGCCGATAGGGAGATCGTTGAGCTGACGCTTCACGGGTAAACCGCCCCCAGTCAGAGCACCGCTTGCTCCTTGGACAATGGCGGGAACGGCGCTTCCAAGGGCGCCGATAGGGAGGTCGTTGAGCTGACGCTTCGCAGGTAAACCGGCACCGGCAACAGCGTTCTGGGTAGTACCAATAGCATTACCAGCCTTGCTAACAGCGCTGTTGGCATGGTTTGGAATGGTCTTGATGATCTCACCAGGAGCAGCAGTATTGTCACGCTTGATGGCACCTGTCGGGCCGCCAGCGGCGGAGGTGACAGGCCCAACAATGTTAGTGGCGGCACCTGTGACACCAGCAACAGTACCTTCCACATTGCCGAGGCTGGGAATAGCGGCAGAGTAGCCCAAGCCAGCGAGGGCGAGTGAAATGGTCAACCCAGTGAACTTCATTGCTGCAATGGTTGTAAAGATTCAAAAGTTAAAAAAAGTGAACCGGCGAAGAAGTGTACAGGTAGTACAAAGAGAGTGATAGAAATGAATGAATGACTTGTGTATAAAAGAGAATGCAATGCTGCTGGATCTAAAGGCCGGATTATATACAATTCTCTGGGGTTGTTTTGGCAATGTGCTCCGCAGGGTCATCGGAGCTCCCTCGCATTTGGGATCATCAGGGGCGATGTTTTGACCTTGGCGGTTATTATCATAACCAGTGCTAGCAGGCTGAAACCAATCAAGCCGCATAGATAGTTTCATTTTAGCGGATATTGCACAAAAGAAGGGATGTGTGTGCCCACATAGTCTGAAGTTAAGATGAGTGACATGTTTCAAGCGATATGGTTGGAGCAAATTTCCAGTAAGGTTGGCCCGGATAAGCGAGTTAGTAAATCGTTGAAGCTTGTTCCTCGTTGGGGGATATTTGAGGTTATCTCCTATGGTCTCACATAGAGAAGATCGCAACGTGGGAGATTTCGCATGGTCTATTCGTGTCTGTGTAACCAAGTGAGATATTCTCCGTCAGAATAAGAATAACACCAGCCAACCAGCGGGAACATCTCGAAATCAAGTGAGGGATACATGTTAGCGCATTGACCATAGATTCAAGTAAGGGTTGTTATATGCAGGGCTCAAATTTGTGTTGATCACCGGCTGTCGCAGGGGGACTGACCGTGAGTTTTCCGAAGTGGAGCGTTTGAATTCGAAACAAAACAGTTCGTCGTCAGACATCCTTGCGTCGACTCTGCATGAAATCCAGTCTATGCGGACATTGAAGCAACCACTATGCCCTTGGTGTTTACTGGCGTATGGAGGCGCACTCGATTTGGAAGTGGAAACCGAAGACAGTCTATTTTGCTGTTCGTTGAGGAAACGGTCTTTAGTTTACGAAACTGGTTTGCAGCAGATATCCATGAGTACCGCATCAGAGCAGACTGTGACCACATACTCATTTGCCGTAAAGAATCACCAGGAGTGACTAGCCGAGCGTAGAACCATCACAAACCATTGAGCAGAATAGGCACGATGAAGGAAAGCCAATATGCAGCAAATCATAAACAAGCTGTTGTACCAAGCCAGTTTCTCCCGAGAGCATACAGTTCAGAGGTGCCATTTACATACTCCGTACTAGATGGGTCACCATGTCAGGCTCTGTATAGCGTAGCGGCTTGAATACAATCTCCCACTAGAAGGACGATGGCCCTCAAGCGTACGGATAGTTACATATTGCAGCGACCACCATGATCTAACAGTGATATTTCCGTCCTGTTGGTAGAGGAGGAAGCAGAGGGGCGCACAAGTGCCTTGTTGTTGACCTCATTTACTGACATAAATCGGAAGCCTAACTAGGGCATTGATTGGGAACATGAAGACAATCATCCGCCAGAGGCATGCGCTATTCTCATGTGAAATCAGGATATAGGATTCAGAGGTGAAAACTGGGGTGCGGATTCCGAGTGGAGACCTGAGGGATATATGAGATGTGAGTTATAAGATTTCAGAGTTGATGTTCTATTAGTGTTGATTGTGAAGTTTGTGAAGTTTGTGTGGTTTGTGCAGTTTGTCTGTTTATTGTGGTGTTGATGTTTTGGAATGCGGCAGGCACCTATTCATGCCTGAGGCAACGGACGTTGTCACGTCAACGGCCGACACTAGTCCCAAAAGGGTAAGGCATAACATAACAGTGGCATGGCAGCTGCCCCAAACATCATGAACTCGGACTTTGTGTTGATTTCCTTTTCCTCTAATCCACCTGTACAGGTTTTTCGCATCCATCTTATTTTCTCTTTATTCTTACCATCCTATCCTCATAGATCTACCTCCCTGGGTTTGATCATGAGCGTTTAGTTCTTACTTTTACCGCGACTATTTTCTTATTGGCTTTGCTATCCTCCGAGTCACACTAGAACAACAGGACCTGTAACGGTACCATATTGATCTACCTTCGTTGTTTATCAGTGTTATACAACCACTCCGGGTGGTGGCTGTCAACAAACAACCGCCAATATGACTACCGACTTCAATCACGGCGGGCAGATGATCGAGTACATCCAAGGTTGGTACAATGTTCCTCGACAATTTAAATCTCTTTCACCCACCATTGAGAGCTAAGCAAAACCATCGCCTAGATCGTCTCTACCTTGCATCTTATGATTCTGCTCCCAGTTCCAGAACCCCGTTTCCCTTCCATCTGGACGCACCCAAATCTCCAAGCAAGCGCGCACGTGCCCAGCCCGCTACTCCGAGCAAGCGACGCTCTCCCGTGTACTTCACCGTTGATGACACTCTTCTCTACAATGCCTTCCACGCTGATTTCGGCCCACTCCATATTGGTCACCTTTACCGCTTTGCCGTGCTTTTCCATGAGATTCTTGGCGACCCAGCCAACAGCGACCGCCCGGTGGTCTTCTACAGCAAGACTGATGCCCGAAGTCGCGCCAATGCGGCCTGCCTTGTTGCATGCTATATGGTCATGATTCAGTCCTGGCCACCTCATTTGGCTCTGGCACCAATCGCGCAGGCAGACCCTCCTTATATGCCTTTCCGTGATGCTGGATACAGCCAGGCAGATTTCATTTTGAACATCCAAGATGTCGTTTATGGAGTGTGGAAGGCCAAGGAGCAATCTCTGTGCGGACTTCGTGACTTCAATCTTGAGGAGTAAGTGCCACTGTTTACACTGCCGAAAATTGAATGCTGATTTTGTTCAACAGGTACGAGAAATTTGAGCGAGTCGATATGGGTGACTTCAACTGGGTTACGCCAGATTTCCTTGCCTTTGCATCTCCTCAGCAGCAGCCCGTGGCACCCATTCCTGTCAACACACCCGAGTACAATGCATTGCCCACAACAATCTCGGAAATCTCTTCCTCAAAGCTTCCCATGCCCTTCAAGAATGTTCTCGCCCATTTCCACCAGCGCAACATCGGCCTCGTTGTAAGACTCAACTCGGAACTGTACTGCCCATCTTACTTCACCGCAATGGGGATCTCTCATATTGACATGATCTTCGAGGATGGCACGTGCCCTCCTCTGCAGCTTGTCAGACGGTTTATCAAAATGGCCCATGAGATGATCACCATCAAGAAGAAGGGCATTGCAGTTCACTGCAAGGCAGGCCTAGGCCGAACGGGCTGCTTGATTGGTGCTTACCTGATTTACAAGTACGGATTCACCGCCAATGAAGTAATCGCATTTATGAGATTCATGCGACCCGGTATGGTTGTTGGACCTCAGCAGCACTGGCTCCACCTCAATCAAGGCGCCTTCCGTGAATGGTGGTTTGAGGATAGCATGCGCGAGAAACTAGCACAGTCCACACCTGTCACTCCGCGAGTGTCGACCAAGAAGCGCACTAGCAACGGAGTGGTCTCCACCCCACCAAACAATAGCCACTCCAAACGCGCAGCCCTCGGAGAGATTGATCATAATGAAGCCGCAGCTTACCCAGACCAGGATCTTCCTGCACCGACCCCTGGCCAGCCTCGCAAGTCCCACCGAAAAGACTCACGTCACCACCCTTATTCTAGAACTGCCTCCGGATCCCTCGCTGTTGAAAATGAGCAGCGCAGCCACCGCAGCCACAGGAAGAGTAACGAGAGTAGCGAGAGTGAAGAAGAGATCCAGCTGCGCCGATTAGCGCAGCGGACATCCAGGTCTCCTGTTGCCTCGCCCACATCACGATCTATCAGCTATTCTGCCACTGTCACAGCCAGCTACACCCTTGCAGAAGACAACCACAAGGATCAGGAGAACTGGGTTGATCACTCAGCACCCAAGACTCCCGTGACCCGCAAGAGTGGCGCTGCCCCTATCTCGGTCAGCAAAGTTCGCTCCAGCCCTCGCCGGGCAACGGAAAATACCCGCAGCGAGTCTCGTGGTGTTCGCAAACCTAGTGGCCGTATTGGTAGCAATACCATCAGCCCCGCAAGGGCAATCAAGACCATCCACTAAACGTTCTGCTATCTTCTTTCGCCCCTATCAACTCTACATGTTTCTTCGGAGTGCTTCTTCTTCCATTCTTCTCGTCCCACTGGGACAATACTTCTGCATACCCCTTTTCTGTGATGCATCTGGATGCTTTTTAATGTTTGAGTTTGCAAATCTCGGTCTGTTGTTTTCTGGAGCGAATACTGGTTATTAGGCATGTTGTGCACGGCGTTTGGTTCTGTTGTTGATTGACGAATCGTCAGATGTCTTGCAATTAGGTACCGATTCACTTCATGCCACATATTGTTTTGTCTGCGGGTTTCGCTCTTGTATGTGTCAATTCTATGTCGATATGACAATGCTGTTCATGAACTCCCTCAACATCTCCATCTCTCCCTAAATATTCTAAAATTCGTATCTTTTGTTCTAAACAGTCAGTAATATTGAACCCAGTCACCTGAAGTAGACTATACTTCACTTTTCGTTCTTTGGCCATGCCTTCAACGGCGTACCATATAGCATTACTCGCACAGCGAGCTCTACATGAGGTGATTGAAATTGACACAAAAAAAAAAAAAGCGTGAATATTCCATATCTCGCTCGTATGATCACTATTTCATGTTCCAAGAGGAGACCTCAATCTGCCCTCACTCAATTCCTCAATTGGCAGCCAGAAACTATATGCACCGTTAGCACTCGTTCCACTCCATACCGAGAGATCAAACCTCACCTCTTGGGCCTCTTCCTCCTCAACCGCAGAGCTATCCACCTCACTCTTCCCAATAAGCCCAAGCTTCCCCTTTCTCACGAACCACCACAGCTCCCTCCGATCCCCGCCTAGCTCCTCCCGCAGCATCTTCCCCTTTAGCTGACGCACAAAGTCATTATACACCACAGGTTCCTCATAATCCACTAGCTCTTCACGCATTGTGCCAAGGCCCTCGATAACGCGGTCGTAATTCGAGTGACCGAGACTGTGTGTGATTTGGGTCTCGATGATTTTAGCCATTTGGTGCACAGCATCATGGATTGCGTCGATGCTTTCTGCACGGGAAAGTGTTTGCTTGAACTCTGGGATTGCATTTTCGGTAGAAATTTTCGTCCGCTTAGGTTCGAGGCTGAGGAGGGCGTCGACGTCTAGACCGGACAGTGGTTTCTCTGTTTCGCGCTGGCGTTTACGGCCTTTTGTTTTTGGTGGAACTATAAAATGGAATACGTTGATGAGTAGGGTGGCTTCTGAATGTAATTTGAGAATCGATTATACCTTTCTTGACATCTGCCGTAGACATTAATTTCTCAAGATGGGACTTTGAGTTCTTTACCATCTCTTCTGAGGGGCGTGCGAATTCCGTGAGCCGCTCTGAGGGGTCAAGGACCGGGTCGTCAGGATGCACAGCACGGTATCGAACGGCTGATTCGATGCGGTGCAGTAACGGGGAGAATGACTCGTCAATTGGGAGATCGTTAGTGGGCTCCCTGGCTCTTTTGATTAGCTGGTTGACTGGATAATCAAGTGGGCTCTACTTACCCTTCATCATTTGTGGTGACAAAATTCATGCTGTCCACGTAATCACTCATCGCATCTTTCAAAGCGGCACTTGGGAGGTTGCGGTGTTCAGTCACCACCTTGCCAGAGACAGTGATGATCTTATCCAAAGGTGGGAACCGATATGACCGTACGTCTTCTGCAAATGGAAGCTGTACTTCAATCAAGCACTCATAGTCTGCCTCGACGGACGGGGCTAGCAACACGAGCATTGGTGGTTTGGATTCTTTGGTCACCAATCGGGCAACCGCATAGGAGTCTAATTCGTAGAGTGCATGAATGAGAGAAGACAACGCAAGAGACGCATTGTCATTTGCACGCTGAGGAATGATAATATTCGTGTTGGACATGTGCATGTACCGGTCATACTAATGAGAGGATTAGCCGTTATAACACTTGAGATTGGTATGTAGACACACTTGGTCCTTATTAACGAACCCGATCAGCCCCATACCAGCAAAGGTTTGGAGAGTTGCGACATTCTCATCAGTTTGCTCGATGGGAACTGCTGTACGTCCATACTCGTATCCCTTGGCGAGGTCATCGCGTTCAACGTCGACCTTACCCCCTGGTGCGGACTCGTCTGTGATCTGATAGGTCCGTGATGTTCGCACCGAGGTGAGGGCGTCGGCTTCATCATTGCCTTTACCCGGTGCTTGACTTCCGGGCTCGGTGCCGGAGCATGGCACGAAGGAGCTCGCTGAGATCGGCTTGGCGACGTACGTTCGGAAGTATCGCTCCACGGGTATGGTGATCGCTGTGTCATACTCTTCGGGATTTCCGAGCATGAGATTTCCTTTGAAGGATGGCATACTCTTGGTTACTTTGATGCGGGGAATATCCAGTTCCGAAACAGCTTGTTCCAACGTTCCATAAACACCTTCGCAGCCCTCAGTTAGGCTTCGAAGAAGAGTTTCGTTTTCAGCCTGCATAGAACATGATTAACATCAACATTCGAATACATTGTAGACGACATAGTACCTTTCGACTGTCTTTGTCTTCTTCTTTTACACCATACTCAGCGTCATCAAAATCGGCACCACTGAATGACATTAGCATGAATGTAAAGTCATAGCGGTAAGAAACATACATGACCACCAACTCAATGTTGACTTCTTTAATCTTTTCGATGATATCTTCGATACCATCATCGTTCATCACACCGGTACCATTGGTCACCAGAATGATCTTGCGCTTGTATTTGTTTTTCTTTGTGTACTCAAGGATCATCTGCACGGCAATGACAATAGAAGAGATGGCTTGGATAAAGTCAGAACCAGCAGCTTCATGAGTTATCAACTGTCATACATACCATCGCCTCTGTTCGTATTGCTGGGTTTGATTGTTTCTCGCAGTCTCCGGATATCAGGCATGAGGACCCTGAAAGACAATTTAGTCAAGTGATCCGATATGAAACAGTCAATTCATCACATCACACATACTGGCCAAGACCGAAGAGGACGGAGATATTAGAGAAGTTCTCTTCTTCCAAGTCGTTGATGGTTCCTGTTATAAACATGAGACAAGGCTCCCAATTGGTGCTGATTGGTAGGCTATCACTCACCATCTGTCTTGAGACCAACCACGCCAACCGTGGCCGTCTTGCGACCGGTAGCCACCTGGAATTGTCAGTTCTCTGGCGTTGAACAAAGTCAATTCACATACCGTGGCAGTGATTCTATCCCAGACATACTGCATAGCCCATTCGAGATCTGTCATAGGACGGCCATGGTGGCGCTCGCCCATAGACCGTCCCATGTCTATAATGTAAACCGTAGCCTCTTTCTCCGCCATGATGATGATGATGTTGGGAAAAATAGCAAGTCAAAATTGCTTGAGCCTCAAGACAACAGGCAGACGCGTGATAATTCCACTTGCGGTTTAGACCGAAACGCGAAGGCACATGACATCACACTTTGTACGTTTGTTGGTGTTTGTTGGTCCGTGCGTCGTTATGAGACAGCTTTGCCTATTTGGCAGTGGAAACAAGGGTTTCCCTAAGAACCGGATCGTGGCGATAACTGTCCACTTCTTCCCCTCGACGCTTTGAACCTCACATCCACTTTATCGCCAACTCCAATCTGCCAGAATTATAACATATCCAAAGTCATGGATCCTCGCCCCTATCATATTTTGAGGTCTGTTTATTAGTGAAAATTATGACCCATATGCTGACAAGTGAGGTAGCTACGGTACTCTTTTGGGGACACAGTTCTATCAGGTGAGATCGATATCTGAACTGGGCGCATATTAAATCGTCCGCTCCAAAAGCATTTTCTAACATGCGTAAAGTCCTTTGTCGGAGGCTTCGTTGCTTTCCGCGCCCTTCCACGGCCCCAGTTCTCTAGTCTGCAGACCGCCATCTTCCCCATCTACTTCTCGCTGCAAACTGCGCTGCCTGTAGTGGTCGCCTTGACCGCTTCCCATGGTGGACAGGTATTGGGCCTGTCTGGCCTAGCTGCACCTGAGAACCGTTTTGATACCCTTTTGCCCCTGGCAACTGTGGCAGTGACCGGATTGGTGAACATGTTTGTGTTGCGTCCCATGACAATCAATGTGATGCGCGAGCGCAAGCATCAAGGTGCGTTAGCTACTGTCACTATGTTTCTGTTAAAAAAAATCAATTGATCATTCTAACCTTTACAGAATCCCGTGATGGAAAGAGAAGCTACGATCCCGCGCCTCACTCTAAGGAGATGCTGGCCTTGAACAAGAAGTTTGGCCGCGTGCATGGCATCTCAAGCTTGGTCAATTTGGCCAGCCTGGTTGCTACAGTTTGGTACGGTGTCGTACTAAGCAAGAGACTTGAGTAATTTGACAACAACAATCAACAGCAATACTCAGCAGGAGGTTTTATGCATATAGCTCTTGTACACATTTCATTCATTCCCCTCCTCTGTCTATTGTACCCCTAGTTATACATAGAAAAATTCGCTGTGCTGTTTAAGCTTTTCCGCATTTTCACCTTTCTAACGGGAAAAGTATATATAGAAAAAGATACTGAAAAAGACCACCAGAAAACCAGAAACGATATGGCAATGCCGCACAAGCGGCCGAATACTCTTGTACTGTATAAATAAAAATGCACGATTCGGTTCACACTTTAATAGTCATGTTGATCTACCCCATGATGTGTACATTACCCCCAGGGATGTCACCGCCCGAAGGGCTAGTAATTACCTTGCCTGGCCTCATATCCCTCATCTCCACAAATACAGAGCTCAGTAAATCAAGCACACCCCATAATAGATTAAAATCGGACCAGGTGGTTCGAGAACACTTGCTGCAGCCCATGGATAACAAATCGGCACAATCTCTCTTATATCTGCAGCATCTAGTCTTTATGCATTCTTTCTGCCTGAATTTCTTCCTTGGATGTTATATCACCTACTTCCGCGAGACGCTCGGCACCTTGATAGAATTCTGGCAGAGGTTCCAGTCTCTGACGAAGGATCCAGACACGGAAATGCCACAAAGCATTCTTGACCTGGTACGAGGCGTGTTTGCGAGTCGAGACAGAGAAGACCTGGTCCAATTCTTCCAGAGTAAGAGCTGACGACAAAATATTAGCACATTTAATCTCAAATAGGTCAGGACGCTTACACTTTGTTTCAGGCACAAACAACAGGACCAAAAACCAGCCGATTATGCACCAAGCAGCATACCAACCGAAGGCACCCTGCGGTTTAAAAGAATCAACTAAGTGCGGCCAAGTGAAAGATAAAATGAAATTAAAGCACCAAGTAGTCGCTGTCGCCCATGACATACCAACATCACGGACTTGCAGCGGGAAACATTCGGCGGCATACGCAAATGGGACGGGCCCTTCTCCAGGAGAATAGAATATTTCAAACAGGTACATGCCCGTGGTGACCATCGCAACTCTCTTTTTGCTTGTCTCATTTCCCTCTTCAATCCAGAACGAAAAGCCCGTCCATAGAAGAGTGATAGCGAGGAAGGGAAAAGTGAATAGTAGCAAATTCCGGCGACCCCAGGTATCAATTGTGAAGAAGGCTGGTAGGGCAAAGACCCAGTTAAGAATTCCAGTTCCCATGGATGCCAGTAGCGCGCTAGTCAGACTGTAGCTTGCTTCGGTGAAGACGGAGGTGGAGTAGTATGCAATGACATTGACTCCACAGAATTGCTGCATGAACATTACAATCCAGCTAGCGAGCGTGGCACGGCGGTTGCGGGGGATAGTAAAGAGCTCAATGAACATCGTGAAGAAATTCTTGCCCTTGTTAATCTTCCGTTCAAGTTCAACGCCCACATGTGCATAATACAAATCTCTTGCGGCCTGAATGTCTGTTGGTCGAAGGACACGGAAATTGGTATAGGCTTTTTGAATTTTGCCGTGCTGGATCAGCCATCTTGGAGATTCTGGGCAGAAGTAGACTTGAGCACAGACAATGAGTGGTAGTACGACAGTGGATCCTAGCATGAGGCGCCAGCTGATGTCTCGGTCTAGACTCATGAAAGCAACACCCATTATGTTGCCAAGCATGATACCGAAGGCCGTCCACATTTGCCACATCATAACGAGAGCACCTCGGATTGGAGCGGGAGAACATTCTATCGAATTAGCAATAACGAAAAGGAAGTCATGCGACGGCACTTACCCGCAGCATACACAGGCACTGTACTGGATTTCGACCCGATGCCCAGACCGAGAACAAAGCGGGCAATGAAAAGATTGACCCAGGTATTTGCAACACCTTCCCATACTGAGGCAACAGCTGCAATCACGCATGAGATGAAAATTGTACCACGCCGGGCAAATAATCGATTTAGGGGCTCAGTAAGCCAGCAACCGACTATCGCGCAAGCTAAGTATGGGGCACCAACGACAAGGCCTTGGATATTTTTGGAAGTGATGTTGAGTTGCTAGAACAAAATTCAGTTAATTATAGCACAATCAATGATAGGAAACGTACATCTTCAGCAAAATAAATAGCCTGGGCACCATTATTGACGGTCTCATCCATACCTTGGACAGCCGCAGCCAGAGAGCACATTGCTGAGGGGGGAAGGAAGTTAGCCAAGGGCAATCGATCGCTTGAATTGTCACACATACATGCTAGAAAGTATAATTGCCACGGCTGTGACCACTTATGAGTATGTTCACGCTCGAGAGCCTCCCTCTCTTCCTCCGATAACTCGGGAAGACTGGTTGCCGATGCAGGATTTTGCGAAATGAGAGCACCCTTTTTGAAAGTCTCGACATGATCCATCAAATCGTACTTGGTGCAAAATTCGACAACACCTCTAAAGAGTTTTTCGCGAGAAATTCCGGCAAGAGGGTTTTCGAAGACTGCACTAAGATTACCAGGAGAGCGGCTTTCGACGTCTATCTTCTCTTCCTTGTGAGTGTATGTGGGATCTGGGCTCTCCTCTATACGCTCTACCTTCTCCGCAGTGGAGTTGGCCGTTCCATTATCCTTCATGTTGAATGAGTATAGGGTATTAAGTGAAGATCAAATATGCCATGAAACAGTAGCAATGTACTGCAGAATTATCTAATTTATGGGCGTACCAAGTCAGCTGAAAGGTGCTCTCCTATAAAAAATCATAAGCAAGAGATATAGTACCTGATCACAAATTTGCAGTTTATAACAGCCTATCAAGGCAAATCTAGAGCAATGGCGAGAATAGCTTCAAGCTTCAAGGGTGAGAGGACTGGAGGAGCTTTGCTTGCTTTATAGAACAACCATCTATTCGCCACCAATTTTGATATACACTAAAGCGTCAAGCTTGCATTCAATTCGGGTTGTCTTCCACAGGGAATCAGCCGCTAAGAAACGTAGAGTGTCATTCATGTAACATAATTTAGATAGGTAGCCCAATCGGTCAAAGGGGCGGGATCTCTATTGAATTATTGGGTACTGAGCCCTTGAACCCTGGCCTAGAGGATTGTCGAACGAACTAAAAAGCAGGGCAGAGCTTGCGGACGGCACAAAAAGGCATCCCTGCCAGTGGACATTGTCCAAACGTTGAGGTTGCCCGTAGGGGTGGAGTAGACCAATGAATCATGGACCAGCATCACATGGACAATGATATCAAAGTCATGATCCAGTGAGAATATGGACATTTCATCCCTCTTCGACTGGATAATTAAAGCATGCAACGAAGCACAAGGTGATCAGCGCAAGACTGACCAATGGGCCGGTTGGATGTTTACGTCATTGCCAACTTCCCTGGAGAGGTCGGGGTTTGTACGTGCGGAGAAAAGCGAATCAGGTTCAAATACAACTTAGTCAAGTATACAAGGAAGAAAGCATCTTCCGGGTACACGTAGAATGTCGGACTTTTGAGTTGGTAGGTGTTAGCGACCTGGTGGCCTGAGGTTTCAACGCCCTTTTGTTTTCGGTCGCGGTTAGCATGACTCAAGTGAAATTTACCAGTTACTGAGCACCGACATAAATTGAACATGTCTTCCTGCCAAAGCCATTTCAGCCATATTCCAGTCCCCCATATTTTTCTAGACCGGGTATTGTCAAACTGATATCCTGAGAAACAAAATACAAGACTTTTTTTTACTATGGTAGCCAGAATTAATATAGGTATAAAAATGGGATGGCAGAAATTATGGCTTGATCCTAAGGTGCTAACTTTTTAAGTTATGTAACCAATAACTTACCAGACCGCATAAAATGCGTTACAATATTGAGACCCGGGCCAGAGCGACTATCATTACGAAGTACGGTGAGTGGAATGAACTCACTTCTTCCTAGTGGTGACCAAGCTGTCGGGACGGTGTCAGTGACAAGACAACTTTCTGACATGGATACGAGATTGGACAAAAGTACTACGTTTCCCGCTCCGCTTGGCACGGGCCCTTTTGTTCAGCTTTGCCCTTGATTCTCAGGAATATCTATATTTTATATAAGTATAAGACAATTTTAGAACCTAAGTACATAGTAAGTAAGTAGATATCATATCAATGGGTGGCTGGCACAAATATTACCTGGACCTCGACCCGCATGCTACACCTGATTGGCCCAAAAAAAAGCCCCTTTTTGGCCCTGCGGATCGTCTCACAATACTGAGCTAATCAGCTGAGAGCGATCAATACGCTAGCTGTTAACCCACAGCCGTTGTACGGGATAATGTATTCCAAAAACTAAAAGGTACAGCTTTGACGCAAAGGAGCACTTATCCGGCTGACTGTGCAAATGATCGTTGAATAAAACCTAGGAACGTAATAGCGCTGGACCCGACAACTTGGGACGCTAATAACTGCCTGAAGACAGAGGGGTCATAAGGGGGGTCATAAGACTGCGGTGTGCTTGCAGTTTTCACTTTTCGCTTTTTTTCCCCCGATCCCTTTCCATCACCTGTTTACAACGCGTTTTGCTGTGTTGTATAGATCGGATCGAAAATGCAAGATACACACCGCGCATCGACCCCGGTCGAGCCTGACGTGAGTGTTTCATGAAATTTCTTTTTCTGCGCATTTCGCATTTCCTCTTATTTTAACTAACATCATATTAGTCCGAGTACGATGGGGACTCATTATACTCTGACTCGTAAGACCACTGGTCATGATTTTGTATTTCCTGCTAACCATGATAGACTTGACAATGCCAGTTACACCACCAGTGTGACCTCGAGTGTATTGGACTATCGGTATGTTAATGTGGCTGGAATCTGGGTTCAATGGTTACTAATAGTCGCAGATATGAAGTGGGTTACATCGCCACTTGATCACGAGCGGTGCTGATAAGATACAGAACGGTCGCAGATATCATTCATACCATGAAGGAGAATACATTCTGGTACGTGTATCAACGTTTATTCACTATCCCAGACTAATGTTTAAAACAGCCAAATGATGAACGGGAACAAGATCGCCTTGATCTGGTTAGTTTTCACTTGTTGATTCCGATTAACAAGATGTTAATGAGCAACAGAGCCATCACATTTACCTCATGATACTTAAAGGAGAATTGTGTCAAGCACCAGTCAAAGATGCAAAGCGAGTACTAGATCTCGGGACAGGAACGGGTTTATGGGCAATCGAGTATGCAGAGTAAGTTTTCTGCCAATATGTCCATCAAATTTACCCCTAACAAGCTATATAGTACAAACCCAAATTCACAGGTCATTGGTATGGGCATATATCTACAGCCTGATCAACATGTTGGCTAATTGAAACAGGAATTGACCTAAGCGCTATTCAGCCATCATGGTACGTGCTACTGCTATAATAACTCCTTGTATGGTATTGATTTATGTCCAGGGTGCCTCCAAACTGCCGCTTTGAGATTGACGACTTTGAACAACCATGGTCATTTAGCAAGCCATTTGACTATATCCATGGGCGCGAATTGGAAGGTTCCATCCGTGACCATGATATCCTCTTCAAACAGGCATTCAACAACCTGAATCCCGATGGATGGTTTGAGATGGCGAGCTTCGATGTCAACACTTATTCAGACGACGGAACTCACCTTGGTGCAACGAACTTCCTCTTATCCATTAAGCACATGCACGAATCATCGCGCATGTTCGGTAAGGACATGACATCGTCCGTATCCTGGAAAGACCGGATGGAGAAGGCCGGGTTTGTGAATGTCAAAGAGGATATCCACAAGGTATGTTCTCGCCATTTCTTCTTGATGAAAATGAAACCCCATGCTTATTGGTGAATTAGCTGCCTCAAAGCCCATGGCCCAAAGACCCCAAGCTCAAGGAGCTTGGCCGATACCACCAACTCAACATGCTTGAAGCCATGCCTATTTACACATATGCGTTGTTTTCAAGGGTGCTTGGGTGGACACGCGCCGAGATTGAGGGACTGCTGGCGGGAATTCGACTGGAGCTGCGAGATACGTCGTATCACTTGTACACGAAATTGCGGATTGTTTACGGCCAGAAACCTAGCGGACCTGTAACTGCCTAACCGATGTGAACAGAAATCTTATTCCCCGAGTCATATTGCATGGGTGCTTCTAAATTTAGACTTGCGCATGTCTCACGGAGCCCGGGAGACTCCCGGGGCCATAGTCCCTCCATCTCTCTACTGTTACTGCCTCGATACTCAGGCAAAGACTATGCACTGAAACCAACTTTCAGCGTAGTGAGTATACATAGATATCATTTTCACTCTGAGGTGTCTATCTCCTGGTTAGAGGCTAGTGGAAAGCAAAATTCATATTCTTTCTTGTGGCTGGCTTCTTGACGGAGCAGCTGTAGAATGTGCATTCACCGTCGTACCTTGTCCGGGTATGTAACCCGTGCAATTTAACCTCCCTTGTGAGGTGGCGGGCATGCTTTTAAGCCGGGTAATGGAAATAATTATGTTCGTTTTTTGCCTCGGTTCTTCTCTTCTGTCTATCTTTTACTGTTTTCTTCCCATTTTCTTACTTGCAGACTAAATCAAAATGCATAATAGATGTACCAAGAATGAGAGAGGTGTAATTGATATGCATTAGGATATTATGAGTTATGAGTTGTCGAGATAGTTAAGAGAGAAAGAGGCTATCTTTATGTCTTGAAAACAGCCAAATCCTCAACATTCCAGGAAGACGCCAGTAAAATGCAACTCTTGAAAAAAGGGCAACGAACGCCACGTTGCAAAATAATAGTCCCCGCCTATGTTCCGCAGAGCAAACGCCATTGTTTTGAAAGTGTTCATCGGTATCGTGAAGAAATAAGATGCTTTAGAAAGCAGGTCAGGGGTCAGATTGATAGGAAGATCGCATATCTTGCATGGCCACGATCGTTGAGGTATTAGGAATGGCGTCCTCTAGGTCGAAGAAAAGTTTCGCTCTTTTGCCGTCTTAACAAAAAAAAACACCGAGTCCTGTCTTCAAAACAATATTAGATACCAAGTTCGATCATGATGCGGTAGGGTGCAAAACACTCACCATTGTCAAGCTATTTTTGCCCAGAATAACGGCCCGGTGGGAAGGTGTATTCATCATATATGTCCTCTTTGGCGGCCATGAGAGGTCCCCACTCCTTTTTTATCTCCTTCCATTGTTTCTTCAAGCGCTGGAGAGGTGAAGGATGTGACTTCTGGGTGGCGTTGAGATCCTCAACGGAGGAAGACTGTGACATGCTCGTTTTAGGTGTAGATACCTGTGAATCAATATGTTCAGGCATGATGTGCTGATTTGTAAAATCATTGATTTCTATCTCGATTTGTATTTGCACGGCGATTTCGCAGACTTTATAACTATATTTCTTGATGACAGGGGCTTCCAAAGTTTATTTGAAAACTGTGAACCGAATCATTCCCGGACGATTACCGAGATATCACCGCCGAGGTATCTCCGCGTCCTGAGGCATTTGAGTTTTCTCTATTGAGTTGCGACACTTTAAATCTTCAGGTTGTTTCAAGAATTGCCGCATTGTTTGGAATAATGGCTAGCGCTGGCTACTAGCGAGTTCTTATGTTCAAACCAGATGACCGTCTTGTTTGGTTAGCAGCTATCAAACCACACATATGATGCCATGCTTCTGGAGATGACCAGTAAGCACCACAGTGCATGCACACAGAGAGATCGATAGGTATATGGAGTAGAGGGAGGAGATCGTAGGAGAAAGAGAGAAAGCTAAGCTCGAAGGGAAGAAACGCCAGCTATGAATTCGGCTAGCTACAGTGGGTCCTCTCGTCGATGAGTGCAGACACTAATAACACATAGCCTAAATCACTTGACGCATTCTAATGGCATTGATGATATATAGCGGATCGATGAGACGTCGAAACGGCAGTCGTATATTCCAAGCGATCATATTTCTAGAAATCATGATTTTATCATGAACAGTAGAAGTCTAGAGGGATTCTTGGAAAAGTTCTGATCTGCAACGCAGTAGCTTTTCAATATATATTCTAGAGATAGCATTGAAGGGATGCTAGAAAAGATAGAAAGCTGCACTAGAGTTTATGTCATCTTGCCCTCTGTTTTTTTTTCTTCTTTGAAAGTATTTTCAATGGTTTAGACGTAACTACCTCAATGTCTTAATTGAATTGATGTTCTTTTCTGAGCTATTTCCATCGCCGTATGATGATTATCCATTGGTCGTTGAAATGACTGTCCTCGATGAGGCTCTTCAATGTTGGAGTCTTGGCCAATTAAAGGCGATACCGCTTATCCCCACCTACTCCCACCGGCCATGCCACCAATAGGAGCTCCTAAACTATACCGCGGGGATGCACCGCGGCAAAGTCCGCGGTGCAAGTCAACATCAGACCATACAATGTAAAAAGTTGCCCTTGATTGTAAAGTATTTAAAGCTCTTGGAGGTAGCAGACAAGAGGCAACTAAGGAAGTTCATTCTCACTTGGGATCAATAAAGCCACTCAAAAATATGAAAAGCGAATCTGTAGTGATCATCGGGTAAGTGAGAGCTAAAACACACGACGACTGTTTCGGAATCGTGAGGCTAATTTTTACAAGGGCCGGCGTGATCGGGCTAAATGTAGCCCTCGTTCTCGCTGAAAAGGGCTATGGCCGACACACGACCATCGTTGCAGAGCATCTTCCAGGAGACACTTCCATAAATTACACTTCACCGTGGTTCGTTAGAATTCCTGCCGCCAGTTCACATTCACAAAGTATTAACCGGAGCTCAGGGCTGGTGCCAATTTCTCAGCTATCTCTGCAAGTGACCCGAATGCATTGAGATGGGACAAGCTTGGATACATGTATCTTCTCGATCTTGCAGCCAAGGATGGAAAGAATGCGTTTGTGAAAGAAACTCCTTCGGTGGAGTATTGGGATGAGCTACCATCCCGTGAGAAGATTGAATCGATGGCGGCGTATCTCAAAGATGTGAGTTGTAGGTGACTTCCTTTACTTATTCCAGATATGCTTATCGATATTACCATTAAACAGTTCAAGGAGATTGCCACACAAGACCTGCCAGCGGGTGTCGCATTCGGCATAGAGTTCACGACAATAACACTCAATGCACCAATGCACCTTCGGTATCTGTTCCAGAAGGTTACCCAAGAATACGGAGTGCGAGTCGTTCGCCAAAAGTTGCCTCAAGTGTCGTCCGGCTATCTCAGCAAGGATACCAAGGTGGTATTCAACTGCACCGGGAATGCAGCAAAAGAGTTACCGGGAGTTCAAGACTCAAAGTGCTTTCCCACCAGAGGTCAAATTCTACTTGCAAGAGCATCCCATGTTCAACAAAACATTATGAGACATGGTAAGGACTATGAAACCTATGTGATTCCTCGTCCATACTCGAATGGAAACGTGATTCTTGGTGGATTCATGCAAAAGAATGTTGGGTAAGTAGGGTCCATTCAGCTCTTGTGAGGACAACATTAGTCTAGTGTTGTTTTCTCTTGGGTGTTCCATATGACAGTAACTGAACTGTATCGACAGAACACCAGATACCTTCGGAGAAGAGACAGAATCAATTCTATCTCGAACGACGGCTTTGCTTCCTGCTCTAAAGTCAAACGAGACTGAGATTCTTGGTGCATTTGCTGGGCTACGCCCATCTCGCGAGGGTGGTGCTCGTGTTGCCAGAGAAAATGTGCAAGTAAGCGCTGCAGGACGCCGGGGGGTTCTTGTCCATAACTATGGTGCTGGTGGAACTGGCTACCAGGCGGGATACGGAATGGCGGTTGAGGCAGTCAACGCCGTGGCCGAGGAGATCACCGCACTTGATATTCAGTCCCGTCTTTAGCTGTTGTTCCCAGTGTCCACCCTGGGTATATTTGTGCGGTGTTATGGTTTTTAAGTCTTCTTGACTAGGGAGAAGGACTGGTTTGACCTAAGCCAAGAAGTCTACGAATTGCTAGATTTAGCATGTAGAAGAAGTTTTTTTATTCATTATTCGTGTGATATCGTCGTAAGTTCCGTAACAATCATATCGCTCCTTATCCAACCCTCAGAAGTGATATAGTGATGCAATCACCGTGACTCTGCCGTGCTATTCAACCCACTTGCTTCATAGCTTGGGGGAGGACTTTCGTCGATATGCGAGTATATAACATTATCCTCATGATCACCATCATGTTGGGTCACGACAATTTTCGGTATAGGTCTCTCAGCTTCCACATGGGACAACCCTGGAAGCTCAAGGAGAGATATTACACTCGTCTTAGATGGGAGCTCTGGGATCGCAGGAGCGACCATTGAGACCTCAGATGGAGAGAAGAAAGATTCGTCCTTGCTCAAAGTGGTTGGTAGTGAGTGAAGGTGGCCAAGAACCGTCTCGAGTTTTTCATGAGAAAGAAGCATGCGGGATTCCTTTTTCAGGGCAAGTTCATAGTCACGGCGCTTCCAGATTGTGTGGGCTCGGGACCTGACTTGTCTAAACTGGTTCACAAACGCAGCTAAATCATTGGCTCCATTTTCGGCATCGGTGATGGTCGAGTCGATCCACTCAAGCTCAATCTCGCCTAGGACTGTCCTTTTGTCATCCCGCAAGTGTCTTGTCTGCTCCGCCGTGGAATTGACGAGCACGGTTGCTTCGTAAAACCCTCCTATCTGTTCCTCCGGAGATAGTGAAGAAACAGAGACAGAGACAGATTTGATTGATGGGACTTTTGTGGATGGTGATACGGGGATTGGAGATGGGTTTATTGGTTGCGAGTTGAGTATCCGTGAGTAAAACCGTGACTGTGAAAACACTTGCTCTCGGGGTTTCACATCGCTTGCTGTAGCATGCTGTTTCGTGTCTTCGATGCGAGCGGCTCGATATACTTGATCTGCTGATTGATTCCATTTTGACACCGATCGATATATTATCGATTTAGCTGACCTCTGACACCGATCCTTTGAATCATTTAACGTATCTGCTGATTTGTGCCATGTTTCCATTGTCGATTGGTGATAACGATATTTTGAATCATCCCACATTGCTGTTGAACGACCGACAAGGTTCCTTGTCGATCGCTGCAGTTTCCCTGTCAATCGGCTTTTTGGCCGGTGGGTGAGGTCGGCGGGTGCCATTTTCAGACAAATTCACTTCTGTGGAAAAGGATATTTGGATTTGGATGTCTCAGAAAAAGGTGAGATCTGACAGGCAGTTGGAATCTGAACGAGAAACGTGGAAGAAATCCAAGGTATATATGTTTCCAATATCAACTCAGCCTTACTTTGTAGGCTACACGAATCCCCGGAAATTAAAGAGGGTCTTCTCCCAATCAATCACATTTAAACATGTTGGTTGCCAGCAGATCATGGCGATGCTAGAGGGCTGTGTGCTGATAGGCAACGTATTTAGCACTGGAGTGTAGATCCACGTTCATCATTGGTCAACTTTTTGGGCGTCGCTAAATTTGGCTGTGGATGGCGGGGGCCAAACTGCCTGGGGGCTTGTGCTGACCAATTGTCATGGACTTTAATAGTTTGAATTTCAAAGTATGGTGGTCGATACGAGGTTGCCCTCCGACCACCATAGCCCCTAAGAGTCCATGCTCAGAGCTTAGATTGATTACGGGGTAATAGTATGTACTTCCTGAGGAGATACATTTCCTCTTGAAGTAGGGGTTATTCTGTAACACGTGATCGCACGTGCTCTCTCGGCAATTGATGTCATTTAAATAATATCTCCCATATTTCCCCGGATTATCTATCGTGGCCGTAATTGATGGAAATTCTAGATGGAAGACCCTCAAATTAGTCCAGAATAAGATCAATCCCGGCGGGATAACCCCGGAGCATTATATACTTTTAGAAATCAACTCTTATTTTGGACAGAATCGAGTTATAAAAGTAGCATGATGCTGGCAATCAAGATAGAATACCAGTTAGCTCCAGCATACCAGACATGAGAATTCCACAGGTTTTTGCTTTTGCTGCAGCTGTAGCTGCAGTGACAATTCCGCGCTCCAAGCACTCTTCTCCTACCCCATTCACAAATGTGACCATCTTCTCACCACCTTCCGACTACATCATTCCACGGACGCTTTACCCACGAAACGAGCAACTTCCCAACGGTGACCTTCTTGCAACATGGGAAAACTACTCCCCAGAGCCACCGGCTGTCTATTTCCCCATCTATCGCTCCAAGGACTACGGAAAGACCTGGAAGGAGATCTCCAAGGTCCATGACACTGTCAACGGATATGGCCTGCGCTATCAGCCGTTCCTCTACTCCCTTCCCGAGCGCGTCGGCTCATTTAAAAAAGGAACTCTACTTCTAGCCGGTAGTAGCATTCCGACTGACCTGTCATCCACAAACATCGATCTTTACGCGTCGCAGGACGACGGCTTAACTTGGAAGTTTGTCAGTCATATCGCTGCAGGAGGAGAAGCGGTGCCGAACAATGGACTGACTCCTGTATGGGAGCCATTCCTACTGGCCCAGTATGTTCTTCTTTCTTCTGTGCTTTGAAATAACTCGCTAACTCCCTTCACAGCAAGGGCAAGCTGATTTGTTATTACGCCGATCAGCGGGATAATGCAACTTACGGACAGGCAATAAGTCACCAGGTCTCAACTGATCTAAGGAACTGGGGACCTGTTGTACAGGATGTTGCCTATCCGACATATACCGACCGACCCGGCATGCCAGTTGTAACCAAGGTAAGCTAAACCGAAGACATCGATTCACTTGCGATTGGTTTATGCCACGCCTGGAGAGTGCTAATTTTTTTCTAGCTCCCGAACGGCCAATACTTCTATATCTATGAATATGGCTCTTTCTTCGGCACCTCAAGCTACTCGTTCCCTCTGTACTACCGTTTGTCGTCCGACCCTGAAAAGATCGCCTCCGCCCCGGACCAGCGTCTGATCGTCTCGAGTGGTACTAAGCCGACATCTTCGCCGTACGTTGTGTGGACACCTTACGGTGGCAAAAACGGCACCATAATTGTCAGCTCCGGTACACAGAGTACTTTGTTCATTAACAAGGCTCTTGGTGAAGGGGAGTGGACAGAGATCGCTTCGCCCCAAGAACACGGCTACACACGGTCTCTGCGGGTACTGTCGGGGAATGGAGGTCGTTACCTGGCTGTGCATTCTGCAGGAGTGCTACTCGGCACAAACAATCGGGTATCGGCAAGTGTGATGGATTTGAAAGAGGTATTGTAAGCTAAAGGGCATTTTGTGGCGGCGGAGGACTCATACTAGATGCTGTTAAAGTGCGATTTATAATCGTTTGATCGTTTTGAGTGATGTGACCCATTGTTGGATATGTGTATATGCTTGGCATTTGCTCGAGAAGAAATCTAGATTTTGGTGAAAGACTTCAAACGTTATAAATAGATCGACATCGAACAATTTGGCTTTCTCCTTAGCTACCATTTCCAGCGTGAAGTGTCTTTGTCGTAGTCTTCATCCTCATATCTAATTGGGGGGCCGGGTTTGGCGAGGTTGAACATCGCTAACCACACGGCACCAAACTCAACCGGACGTTTAGGCTTACCGACCTTATGGAACTGTCCGATAAAGTACCTATAGTATATCAGTATGTAAGCTCGCGTCAGATGGCATGGAAACGACATACTGTGTTTGCGTCTCCCGGTGCCAAACCAGACCTTTTGCCCTGGGCACACTAGGCCACCACCTGTTCTCGAATAGCTTGCTAAATCGTCAATAATAGTTAGACTCAAGGACCGGGAGGGAGAGAGAGAGAGAGAGAAGAACTATTGCACTTACGGAAGAGCCTTGATAAAGACTGAGCGAACTTGCTCTCTTTCGAAGCTTTCAAGACCCCAAAATGGATCTGCGCCATTAGTCTTACGATAGGACAACGACCCTGACCTGAGACTACGAAGATATATAACGCTCTATTGTAAATGATATGAGATAATCTCATGAATGACTAAATGTTCCATTATCGAGCCTAGCTACCGCCACTAAGAGCGGGGGATCACACTGCTATGCGTATGTGGAGCGTGTACATCATTGTTCTGGCAGCCCGGTAGCCGGCTGCTACGACGAAGTTGGGTACTCCCTTTTGTAGCTGGTCTGGGGGTTGAATCCCGCTGCACGGGCGAAATTTTTCACCAGCATCGAGACAATATCTTGGGCACTGTGCGCCCAGTTGTAAGACTTTTCAACCCACTAAAAAATATCATTAGTGATATTATAGCAAGTTTCACGAAGACGTCTCACCTCCCCATTTGGACGAATCCGGATAAACACCCACTCATAACTGTCCGTCGCGATTCCGTACACGGACTTGTCTCTAGTCTTGGACTGCTTTCTTGTTTCGTGGATCATCGCTATTCGTATTAACAGTAAGCCAGGTATGATAGAAATCAAAATCACTTACCCATATATGCGAGACAATGTAACATACCGCTTTTAAGCAAATGCGGTCTTTCGACTTCAAGTATAGCCATATTGGTTGCATATTCATTAGGTATGTCATACGAAAGTGAGTAGTCAATGATGCCGGAAAGTTTCACCAGTCGATTATCGCTTTTCCAATCGAATTTTATCTTGCGTTCGAATTGCAGGTGAATAGACTTTATCGTGGAGGAGACAGTAGACGAGGCAACGGAGGTAGAGAGTTTTGCAACAAACTCGCGCTTCATCTTGGCCAGAGTTGTCAAGATAATCACATTAATGCGAGATCTTATGAGCGCCTCACTTTTAGGTGAGCCTCCGGTTGCCATGTCATAGTCTGCGAGGATAGAGTCTGTATAAGTTAGTATCGCAACATATCCTTATCAATAATCAAGCTTACTTAGATGAGAAGAAAGCGAGACCTTTTCCGTCTTTCTGGGAGAAAGTTCGAACTCGGTGGGCGGACAGTGAGCGAGGTTAAAGTGATGCGGAATTTCAATCGGGTCAAGGTCGGTAATGGCGATTGTAGGCATTTCTTTTTTGCGCTTGGCATGATTTTTGAGAGGTTTACTCTTTCGAGGTTCCACGATTTGCTCCATGGCTAGAAAAAAAGTGTTCGAGTTGAAGAAAAAGAGAGTGTAGGAAAGATATAAAGGGGGATTAGATATGACAGTCGACTACCTTCCTTCAGTTACTTTGAAAGGCTTAGTACATTAGTAGTTTCCATGGATAGAGAATGTACATACTAAAGTTCGTGGAAGCAAATTTTCTTTCTTTTTTATGTGTCTTTTTGTGTGCCTTTTTGAATATCCTAATATATCGATTTCTAGACCTCTTCTTAGATTTCTTTTTTTATGTCACTTTTTAGATCCCTTTCCTCCTGTTGTAGCCAGAAGAATAAAAATGACTTCCAGGGTTTTTCATGTATAAGATGTGCGTGTGATTTCCAACAATCCGATTGTCAACCTTGGAAAGCTTCCAAGGCTCCGTGTTCTAAAAAGGGAAAGTATACGGTTGACTCATATAACGTTTGCTCTCTAAGCCTTTTTCTTCTCTCACAGAGTTCCATGATTTGTTCCTCAATTATTCTACTTTATTCGGCTTTGCTTTCTTGGTGCTCAGTTGAAAACACTCTTGACAATGATTGAAACAGCCTGTGCAATTATCAAGGCGACTAAGGGACATCAACATGTAGTGAATGCATGTGGCCTCTCACCTGCTAGGTGGTGGAATAAGAAGCAACTCAACGCAAAAAATACCTGGAACATCCCAGATAATCTCGGTGAGTTTCAGCTAATCATCTACATGTTTATATGTTGCTAACAGCTTATTAGCATGTTTATGGGACGATCTTGAGTTAATCACCGCTCGGGATGGTGTCGCACACCCATTATTCCCAATGAGAATAGAATCACTTCTCCTCGCGCTGCTCGCAGATAAGATGAAGAGTGAGCCACTTTATGCTGGCGGGGCCCTAGACTCGCCCCACTGGAGCTTTCGGAAGCGGATATTCACGTCGGAAATGAAAGACAACCGAACTGTAGCTCCAGTGGATATCATCGACTTCGTTTTGTGGTATGGCCACTGCTGGGAGCTGGAAACAAACATGATCGTTATGAAGTCTAAGAGGCCGGTGCGTCGGAGCTGGACTCTGCTTCAAAATATGTCGAGTATTCACCAGGCTCGTAAGCTAGCAAGAAGAGACGCGTCTATCTATGGTGTTTTAACTGACGGATCAAAATGGGTATTCATGCATCTCAGTAATACAAGTCGGGTGGGTGTTTACAAGATTGAGGGAAGCCGAGCCAATATGTTTACTGATACCTTCTTTAGTATACAATCAAGGTGTTCTCTTGGGACAACGAGCGAGACCGGATTATTGCCCAGGCCCGAGATATAATCGACCAGGCAGCTGCTCTTCACAGAAAGATACTGTCGCGCTCGTCCCTGCCTACACCCACTGTCCATCAATTTGGTCGCTGTCAAATTAGAGAGATGCGTGCTCCATGCAAAGGTACTGATGATGAGAGTGGCCCTGTAATTGAGGAGAGTACATATGAGACGGATATAGGACCCTTGATCTGGTAAATTGCTGGAAATTCAAGTTTGGTTCGTACGGCGGACACTTTGGCCAGTGGAAATGTTTGAAATCTGTCATAGCCTGTGATCTCTCGATAGTGAAGAAATCTTACAGTCTTTTCCTTTGCTCGCTTCCTTCAGTTTTAGACTTCCTAGTTAACTGTAACAGTTTATGCCTGAGGCACCAACTCTTTCTCGGAGTATTCCGTATTGTGTAATGTATGGGTCCAATCAACGGTATTCAACTCTCTGTCTAACTAACTAATAAATAACTAACTAACTACAGCATTGGTAGGATTAATAAATCCTCCGGTATACCGGCGTAACTGCGCCGACACTCTTTGCAACCCGATTAAACAGACCTACATTGCTGTCCAATCACATGACACCTACACCGACAGACTCCAGATCAACTGTGCTCCTGTGCTCCTCATTTCTGCCGTTGCTCAACATAGAAGGCTCGTCTACATGTCTATCGCAACATTCCCCACAGAGCTTGTATGTGATATCTGCGGCTATCTGGAGCTGCGCGACTGGATTGCGTTTCGGACCACCTGCCTTGCAGTGTACACGAAGTCGCTGGATGCTTTTGCGGAGCGATATTGCAAGAGTATCGGTTTGATCCTCACTAGTCACAGTCTTCGTCGATTGGAAGAGCTCGCAGCAAACAATAGCTTCCGAACACGAGTTCAAGAGCTATGGGTTGTACCGTCCTTGTTTGGGGGCTTTTATGAGATGGATGTTGATTCCTTCAAGGCCTGCACCACTTCGCATAGAGACAGACCGCCTAAGACTGTTGCCCAGATCAATAATCGGCACACTGAATACCAGGCTTTAGTGGCAGATCATCTCAACATCCTCGAATCCGATACTCTTAACAACGTCCTCAAGGAATGTATGGCACGCTTTGAGAATCTCACTGTCATTAGAATGCAACATAACGACTCCGACTTTTTCTGGAATTCAAATTCAATTGCAAAGGATGAATTTCGGTGCCTCGGTTGGCGTGGGGTAAAACATCAGCTCGGATTCAACCCATTTGGATTGAACCTCAGAAAACCCATACACAACCTCTGGAAGAGCAGAGCGAAGGACCACGCTATGGCTTTTTCTGCTCTCATGGAGGCAGCGGTTGCCTCGAACAGAAAACTCAAAAAGTTAGACATATGCAACGACGAACATTGTGCTCTGCCCCCTTCGGATATTACACTCAAACTCACACACAAATCCCTACTTTTCTCCCTGGAAGGATTAGAACATCTGCACCTCTGTATCTGCATTTGGGAAGTACAGTCAGATGATTCTAAACTCAGATATCTCATCGATATTCCTATAATAGTTGCACCAAGCCTCAAGGTCCTAACATTCTCCCAGTGGGACCGAAACGGTGTAATGAGCCCTCACTATTTTATCGACATCTCCCAGCGTATCAACTTCACCCAGCTAGTTGAACTCGATCTTTATTGGATTGAAATTACCTATGATACCTTCAAGGCATTTTTGCGCACTGCAATGCCGACTTTGAGGTCTCTTGCGCTACAGTCCTTGAACTTGAGGGGTGCAGCTCCAATGGACACCGATAGTGGCCATAACCTGTCAAGATGGGACTCTCTAGAGATGAATGAGGAGAGCAGTGCTGCTTGGCGACAGGTTTGGAATTTCCTCGGAGATGAATCCTCGCTACGGTCTCTTTCCTTGAAAGAACTCGGTTATCGAGGCCGTCGTCTGTATTTGCGTGATAATCTGAGCAGTCTCAGCGGGTCTCTCGAGCCGAATGGGCCGATAATTGCTGTCTTCGACGCTAAGCGAGCTGGTGTTTCCTTTAAGGAATGGGTCACTCGGCTACAGACAGGGCTGTTGCGAGGACCGCGGATATGTTATGATACCATGCCAGGGAAAGATTATACCGCACAGATGGTTTGATCTGAAATTCTCACGATTTGATACAGTACTCATAGATTTAAAGAATCTAAACTGTAAGCACAACTTTCCCTCGACCCTCAAACCTCCCGGCATAATCATAAGCCTCATACGGTCAATCCTTCCAGCAACAAACGCAAACCCTCACCACTCCCCTCAACGAAACACAACTCCCTAAGTCCATCCCTTCTCAGACGCTTCGCGCGCACCTCAACAAAATCAAAGTCCGTCGAATCAATATCAGGACGTTTCTCTCATTCACAAACCTGCCCTCCTCACCAGCTGGACACTCAAACCTCCATGCTCAGCAACCTCGGCAGCCGCAACTTCTTGGGAAAAAAACGCCCTATTCCTCCCAAAAGATCCAACCACCCACAACAATATGAGCCCCAGCACACCCAGCAAGCTGTACAAGAAAACACCCAACCCCACCCTCACCAGCAACAAACACACGCTGTTCCAACTGATAAGCATGGTGATAATTCTTGTCCTAATGACAGCGTGGTTCCGACAGCGCACGCCCGCCCAGAAGCGGAAGCGGAAGATCCGCATGCACAAAGAACGCCTTGTACGCCGTCTGCGCGCTAAGCGGTAATTCAATACCGCTGCCTCTTCACGCTCAAGACCCGCTGGTTTTTCTGCGACTTCGTCTGTTGCCACGAGCGCGTATGAAGCCCATGTTGAGGCACGGTCTGCGGGAATTATGCCCGAAGACAGCTTGAGGGAGTTGTTGAACATGGGAATTTGATTTTCACTGTGATTGGGAAATCGTGACCCTAGATTGTGTAGGGTTGACGGTATGGCTCGGGCTATATGAGCATGTCATGGATTATGGCTGTTGCTTTGACGTGGATTAGGTGTGGGGGTTAGGATGGGAAATAGGGTGATGGGGAGGGCGGTGCTGGGTGGACTCGGATTGCTTGCATTTTCAGGGTTTATCGGGGTATGGATTTGTGAGGGAGATAGGTTTGAGGGCAAGATTGAATAGATGTCTGGCTTTCATGCCCGCAGTATGGTTCTACGGATTGGCTATCGCCCGGTGGGCACAGCTGATAGATCACGACATCAGGGATCTAGTTGTATGCTTCTATGAATAGATTGAATAAGAAATAATAATGGGTTTCATTAACTATCAATGTAGTCATAGGGGCATGTCTTGAGAGAAGGGGAAAAAAACTATGTGCAAAACGCAATGCTGGCTGTACAACACCAAGAAACTAATTCATGCGGACATGTGTATCCTCTTGGTTTCATTCCAGAAAAGAAAGAAGATCATTTACTCAACCGAGGGCAAATCGGCTGAAAGAGGCAACTTTCGGGATGAGTTACCGACATACACCTTCTTTTGGGCGTCGGAGATCACCCAGTTCTGGGAGTCAACATCCCAGTTGGAGACGTCACGGCGGGTCAAAGTGGTGGTCCACTGGAGGGACTGGCCTGGGGCAACGGTGACTCGGTCAAACTGACGAAGGACCTTTGATGGCTCATCATCGCCACCCAGGGAGATGTACAACTGGGGAACCTCGTCACCAGTCACGGAGCCGGTGTTGGTGATAGTAGCGGTCACTTGGTAGAGGTCTTTAAACAGACCGGGGTTGCCGCCGGAGTTGCCGCTGGAGGGGAGAAGGTCCTGGGGAGAACCATCGGTAGCGCCTTCAGGAAGGTATTCCTTGGAATCCATGCCATAGTCAGGATCACCGGACGAGGCACGCAGGTCGGTCGAGTTTAACCATGGGTAAAGGTACTGGCGGACGCGTTTGATTTCCTCCGGGAACAAGTTATCCGAAACCTTGCCAGCTTCACCGAGAATGGGCGCTTTTTGGGTCTTTCCAATCGTCGCTTTGTATTCGTTGTATTTAGTCGAGACAAGAGGGGTGACCTTCAGGTCGGAGAAGGCAAAGTTGGTGTAGCTCAGACCGTAACCAAACTCGTAAATGGGCTCTGTGTTATCCTTGTCGAAGCGGCGGTAGTCAATGAATACACCATCCTCAAAGTTGTCCTGAGGAGCATCGGCGCCGTTGTTGGGCACTGTGAGGAGAGGAGGCCCGTAGTCCTTGCGAGTCTTACCCCAGGTGAATGGAGTCTTACCACCGGGGTTGACGCGACCATACAGTACATCCACCAGACTGCGACCGCTCTCTTGGCCTGGCAAACCAGCCCAGACAATGGCAGTAATGTTGTCATTGTCATACCAGTCGCTAATCAGAACAGCGGATGTGCTGTGGATCACGACGATAGTGTTGTTGCAGTATTGACTAGCAGTCTTAATCACCTCATCACCATTCTTCCAGAGTGTCAGGTTCTTGCGGTCACCCTCGTTGCCATCAACGTTGATGAATCCCTCGCCAGAATTGGCGTTCACGAAAACCAGGGCAACATCAGCCTGAGAGGCCAGGGCAGCCATCTCTGTGAGGGCCCAGTTATCAGTCACAGCGAAGACGTTAGTCTGTCCGTTGCTGTATTCCAGGACTTCATTTTGGATGGCTTGCTCGGGCGTAATCAGGTAAGGGAAGTTGGCAGTTCCACTACCCCAGCCCATGGCCAAAGTTCCGTTGTCACAGCCACGGTCGCTGCACCCATTGGCGCCATAAGCATTAGAGCCTGCATCCTCTCCCAAAATTCCGATAAACTTCTCATTGTGGGTAAGAGGCAGTGCATGACCCTTGTTCTTGAGCAGGACAGTGCTGTCAGAGCCAATCTTGCGAATGATCTTGGCGTGGTCACGCTGGACATTTACGCGCTCGTTGACCTTGCCCCAGCCTTCGCTGACCATGGCGTGCTCGAAGTTGTACTCATCGCGGGTCCAGGAGCTGAAGTTGGGAGGAGTGCGGAAGCGATCACGCCCAACCTTGTAGTAAGCAGCCATGATTCGGACAGCCATGTCATCGACGCGCCATTCTGGTACGGTACCGTTCAGAACGGAAATGGTCAGGTTAGTTCCCCAGTAGGAGTAAGGGCTGCCAAGTAAGACATCACCGGGCATGGACATATCCAGACCGGCCAGAGCAGACCCGACGCCGCTGTGGTGCGCACCCCAATCGCTCATCACAAAGCCCTGGAAGCCCAGCTCACCCTTGAGCAGCTTGTTGAGGGTGTAGCTGTTTGCGCAACCGTAGCTGTTGTTGATCTGATTGTAGGAGCACATGACAGAGCCAACACCAGCACGGATAGAATCCACGAAAGGCCAGAGGTACAACTCGTGCATAGTCTTGTCGTCAATGTTTGAGCTCAGACTCTGGGAGATGTTGTACCCGTAACCCTGAGCCTCGCCGGACTGACGGAAGTGCTCTTGTTCATTTGCAATGAAATGCTTAGCGCAAGCAATGACACCAGCATCCTGCATTCCCTTGATGGTTTCGGCCATCATCACACCAGTCAAAACGGGGTCAGGCGAGAACCCTTCCCAGTTACGACCGCCATCGGGGTATTTGCCCAGAGGGCCAGCAACGGGACCTAACTGCACATCCACGCCCTTGTCGCGGTGCTCCTCGCCCATTGCCATGCCACGTTGGTAGGCAAGTCGCTTGTCCCACGTCGCGGCAACATTGACACCAGAGGGGAAACCAGAGTTATAATCACCTGTTCGAGTTTCATTAGTTCACTGCGCCAATCGTATTCGGGATAGGTAATCCTACTGAAGCGTACACCCAATGGCGCATCCTGCATACACATTCCCCACATCCCAAGTCGGGGAATGCCACCGGTTTCACCAACACATCGTTCTTGCTGCCAGCCAGCACCGGTTGTCAAGTTGACTTTCTCAGCCAGTGTCAGGTTAGAGACAAAGTCGACGGCGCGTGTGTATGCATCAGACCATTCGCCCGCGCCAGTCATCCATGGGGAAGGATAGTATGGAGGAGAATGGGCCAGGGGCTGTTTTGACGCGTTTTCATTAGCAGTGATATTATTAACCGCTTTAAATTGGACTCACATTTGCATTAACCACCGAGGCTGTCAAGCCGGCCACTTCTAGCCACCCGAACTTCATTGCTGTGAAAGTGCTGTGAGAGGATTTCACAGAGACAACATTAAAAAGAGTAAAAGGTGTGAGGAAGGAACGAGTCACAAAGGGAAATACATGGATCTTAAATGTTCGGTCTCCTGCTCACAGGGGGGCTTGTAATATTGTGCATAGCGTATATGATTTACGGAGTACTCCATAAAATGAAATAAATTGAGAAAGGGATCGACATTAAAGTATCCCACTAATCACATTACATCGTCTCCCATGATCGACTATGACCAATACTCACTGGAACCCACTGATGCTCACTTTGGAGACACACTTTCACCTTGAAAGGGGAAGACACAATAGTGTATATGGCTGGTAAGGGATTCCCGAGAAACACAGGGTGAGAAGTCAACCCCCTTTCCTAAGATCACCAGAATTACACCTGGACAGCATTACCCAGCCACTCTGTCTTACATACACTATTTGGTCCCCTTGCCATCGTCTTACGTCGATTCCCTATATGAGAACGGCTATACTTCGGCATCTCACATTGCTACGCTGCCACCGTACCACCGCGCTCGTACCTCTTCCCCGCTAATTCCAATTCTCCGTTGGATATAGAAGGTCTTTGACTTTTCAGAGTTTGGCTTCTTCCTCCGGAGTATGTGGGGGTCAGCTACACTCCGCAGATACCTCACCTGATCTCCGAGGATTTAGGCAACTTCCAAGATTCTAATCTGAACTGACCACTTTCTCACAGATCATCCCTTCTCTTGCCGAATGGGGAAACCCCTTTGCATCACCGAGAGTGTGGGGAAGCAAACCTGGACTGTCTAAGTCTGTTTCTCCAAGATTGTAAATATCTAATACAAAATGTTCCATGCATTTGCGACTTTGAGAATATCCTGTGTATTGTTCTATATTGTGTTTTCCATCTACACAAATATATTGGGCTACGCCATCCGCAGCTAAGCGTTTTCGTGGAGACGGGAAGTGCGGGGCCTCCAGATGCCGACTCTTTCTGACGGTTTTGCGCAATTACTTGTTCTTGGCCAAGCGCATTCTCGGAGTATTCTTTTCGGCATCCTGCTGATATTTTTTTTTTATAACGGTGTAGTCTCACGGGTGTTGCATACACTCCGAGAAGGTTCCCCCACACTTATGCCCCGGCATCGGACCAAACCCCCATACCCCGATTTTCTCGGCTTAAACCAAACTTGCACATCTTCTCGATTGTGCATGTAAATCTTAAACTCCGACGGCTAAATATTGCTCTAAATTGAAAGTCACCGGCCTAAAGAGAGAGTAGATTCCAGTACTCTACTGCCTGTGATATGGAAAATTTTGAACGGAGAATACGCTGATCCCGGACGGGATGCACCGCCAAGCAGCCATCTTTCCATTTTTGCGGCTAATCATCGGCGTCACATCTTAATATCGCTGGGTTTCAAGGCTTCCACCGGTTGGAGATTCGGCAGTCCGAGCGTTCGCGTAGGTGTATTTGCGGGATAGTAGCGTTGTGGGCTTGTCATCTTTAAGTGGATTCAACTTTAGATGGGTGTTTCTCATTGATTGTGCAGTTATTGGCGGTCTGGGATGCTACAGAAAATATGAGACACATTTACATCATTAGCATAGCTGATGCCCTTCCTGTGGGTTATGCTCTAGCTCGCAAAACGTCGGTCTCGATTTAGACCTGCAATCGGGGAGATGTTGTCATTTCGCCGTCTGGGCGTGGGGTCTGGGGCGTGGGGTCTGGTCGGGAAAACAACCTGCACAGGCTTGGTGGTGTAGAGATGGCCCCACATCTTAGTCGGGATTTTCAGGCATAAAATCGTCCTATTGGGGGTCTGAGGCCGAAGTGCCGTGCTAAGGAGCAAAGCAGTTGTTATCGTTTGACGAAATCTGAGCCGAACTTGTTGCTCTCGAGGCTCACTGCTGCAGATGGCAAGATGACAGGGTTGTAAGTGATTCTTGGTAACGACTGTAGTCCCCGTTCCAATCCCCTTGTTCAAACTCAAAGAAAGCTGGAACTATCAAATATCCCAACTGGTTGCGGATGCCAAGTCAATGCCAAAGTCAGACATCACTGCTGATATCGTCTAGCACTTGGA